CCCCCCCCCCCCCCCCCCCCCTCTCAGCTCCCCCATAAAGAAACAAAGTAAGAGAACATACCCATAGTAGTCAACCCATAAAGCACAGTGGTAATCGCCTTCTTCCGAAACCCCCAATTCATCGGGAGGTAAGGATCATCGGGCCCCTCGAAGTCAACGACGACGTCCTCGGTGGTTTTCGTATGTGCGAGCGGGTGCGTGAAGCGCGCCGTCTGCGCGGGATCGCGGCTGCGGATGCGCGACACGATGGAGTGCGTGCGGGCTTCTAGTCCAGCCGTTGAGAAGCCCGACGCTGCTGTTGGTTGTTTCTCTAGGGCGTTGCGTTCGGGGTCGTTTTCGGGTGCTTCTGCATTGTGGTTGTGGTGGTTATTAAATGCTGAGGAGGAGGTTGTGGTGGTTGTAGTGGTTGATGTGAGGGATGTGATCGAATGCGACGGTGAGTGCTGCTGTTGCTGGTGGTGGAGAGGAACGCCGGGATTATGGCCCTCGTGGGCCGGCGGCGGAAGTGACATTGATCGATGCTTGGTATTCTTGTTGGGTTCTGTTTCTCCAGTATTATACTTCGAGTTTAGAAAGTCTCAAGAAGATCCTCCCCGGTGCGGTTATCTCCAGTAAGACCTCAAAGACTCAATCAGTAATTAGAAAGAAAAGAGAGAAGCAGCTCGAGCCAGAAAAAAAAATTGAAGAAGAAGCCGCCGTCAATGCCAACGTCACTGCAACGGAGTAGTCCGCTTTTAATATAACCAACTTACTTAGTACTGGAACAGCCCTGTAGAAAATCTCTGGGGGGATCCGCTCTTCCGTTATCGGACCTCCGAATCTTCGTTATCTCGGCGTTTGGGGTTCAATTACCGAGACTGATGTACCGTTACATGTATGATGTGCTGTGCTGTGCTGTGCTGGGGTGATTCATGCTCGAGCTGCAGGTTTTTCTGATCTTTTTCGTCTTATCAATAGCAGAGCAACTGATACATACATGTGAGTTATCCCAAGGTACTAATTCAAACCCCGTCGAGCAAGATAGGCCCATGAAGGCGTCTACCCAGCAAGCAAGACACGATAGTATACTTTCTACCACATCAACCAACCCAGACAGATTCAAGACTCTAGATCAAGTGAGTCACCGAACCCTACGCTCAAATCAGCGGTCAAGAAAATCAAGCAATAGCAGAGCTCCATCACCAACCCTTATCGCCAACCCTTTGATAATTCCATCCTGATGCATCCAGTATGCACCCCTCGGCGATAGATACCGAGCTCAATCGGCATCTTTACACAAACTAATCAACCACAAACACATCAATCGACTCCTCACTACAGTCCTACAAAGCCCATAAACCCATAAACCCACTTGAACATTCAAAATCTGCCCCTTAAATTGAATGAAGACTTAGAACCACAGAACAATCCTAAACCCCGGCTTGTACTTATGATACCATGAGGCAGCAAATCATCGGATCTCTCCGTCGGAGCCTCCGACCGAGGATTCCCTCGGACATAAGATTGACGCGGATATAAATCCGATTGATGGTGCCGTGCCGGGTTTGTTGAGACGAGACGCCACTCACTTATTCATTGCTTGCGTTTAAACTAGTTAAAGAAAGGGTTGGTTCCGTTGGCTGCGTCTATGCCTGATGTGGAACTGACTAGTCCAGTCCATACCCAGTTAATTGTCTCAGAAACAAGTGATACTGAGGTGTATCTACTACTCATGAAACATTATTTGCAATTCACAAAAGTCAATTCACGGTCTATCTATTCATCCCTATTCACTTACCCTATGTAAAATATATTCCTCTGTATCATGTGGACGCCGGCAGATACTGGTACAGCCCGTCATTATACTCGTCAATCGTCATCGACTTCCCTCCGGGTATGTATGTGTATGTATGTACTTGCAGTTAAAACCTTTCTCAAGCACCGACGCTATGGGTGCTTTCCCATTTCTGCACCGCCTCCATGGCCGCCGTCACCTTCAGCCCGATGCGCGCGTCCAGCTCGTAACTCTCCCATTTGGCCGCCTTCTCGAGATGCTCCTTGCAGTCCCGCACCTGCCGCCGTTCCAGCTGCCCCGGCTCGCTCTCACCGCCAGTCTCCTTGGCGGCGGTGACAGCCTTGCCGTGCAGCGCCTGGTACGTCGGCCGTTCCATCCACAGGTTGGCCGCCATCTCGAAGTGCGCGACCGGATAGATCCAGTCGTCGCGGAGATGGCCCGTGAATAGTGACTTGTCCTGGCTGAAGATGCCCGTCTGGATCAGCTCCTTGGCCTCGTCGTGTCGCCGCATCGAGCGGAAGACAGCCGCGCGCAGGATCTGCAGAATGGCCTTCTCCTCCGGCCCTTCACGCGCCCAGGTCGACTTGTTGTCGGGGCCCTCGGACCAGGCCAGTTTCGTCAACGACTCCTCCAGTTGGGCCTGGGTCATTCGGCTGTGGCCGTTCCAGAAGAAGATCATCTCCTCGATCGGGTCGACGCCCACCGCCTCGACCAGGGACACCTTCCATTCTTTGGCGCGGGCTTCCCACTTGGCAATCTTGCGCGAGACGAACACATCGAATGGCAGCTGGCGCGCCATGAATTTCTTCTTGCCAGCCAGGGGCGGCGCCATGCGGAAGTACTCGGTGGCTTGGTCAGCGTGCTTGGCCGCGGCGCTGGCATCGGTCGCAAGCAGACCCCGGTACAGGCTGAGGTGCGAGGCGCCCGCGATATAGTAGTAAAGCGAGCGCGACCACGAGTTCAGGTCCACACACTAACGGAGTTAGCCATCATGCTTTGGAGTTACTTGCAGGGGAATATAATATACCTCAATGAAGGACTCAGCGCACAGCTCGTACTTGTGGAGATACATTGCGTTCAAACTCCGTTCAAACACCCGCAATGCCTCGACCTGCTTGAGCGGACTGCGGTCCTTGCCACACAGGAGCTCCAAGGCGACGTCCAACTTGCGGTTCGCGCCATTCATGCGTGACTCTTCCAGGAGCCACAGCTGACTCTTCGGGAACCGTTGCCTCATCAGCGCCAAGAGAGCCTCAAGGCGCTCTTGCGGGTAGCCCTGCACGTCATCGGGCGAGGCGGGGTCGGGCATGATGTCGCAGTAACGGACGAACCCGTTCGAGTAGCCCAGGATGGCAAAGGCGGAGAGGGCTCCGATCAGATTGTGGAACTTGCTTGCCTGCCACAACATCTTCAACCCGCGCTCTTTGTCTCCGTGAAAGCCAATGATGCCAAGCAATTTACTGAACACAGGCGGGACCATGGAGATGAGGACCAGGAGGATCCCAAAACAGAAGTTAGCACCCGAGTGGATGAACACATCGATCTGATTCTTGAAGATATCAGACTCAGGGTCCTGGTCCAGCATATCGGAGTTGGTGGTCAACGTCTCGGTGCTGGCCGAGACCGTCAATCCAGACAACTGCTTCGAGAGCCCGGCAGCATCCACCGGCGACGCAGGAGCCGTTCTAGTCGTGGCACTTGGCCCGGGGAGTTTGGTCGAAGAGCTGCTCTTCTCCGTCGGTGTGCTATTCCCAGAACTTCGCTCTTGCATGATGAACTTTTGTTCCATCTTCAGAATGGCGTCCAGCGTGATATAGGCCTTCCGTAGTCTATAAAACCCTTTGATACTCTCCGTCAGACTCTCATTCAGGACCCCGACCACCGCACTCATGAGCTGCGCCATAGCCTGACAGAGGGCAAACTCCGTCCCCGGCGCATAGATCTGGGAGTGGTATGAATTGGGCGCGTTGGAGTTATGTTGCGCGCGATGTTGATCGTTGGCGGCGCTGGTCTCGGCGGCGTTGAGCCGCTCCGAAGCTATAAGCAATAAAGATCAGCCATGCTCCCCAGTCCCTCCAGCACAAGACATAATAATGTAAGCAACCCACCTTGCCGCATAATCTCCTGTTCAAAACCCAAAGTGGCACGAATGAAAGCGACCACACCTCTTCCGAGCTACAACAGCCGCAAGAAAACAACACCGACATCGATCAGCCGAAGGCCCGCAACCATCCAGAACAGTATACATACATTGTGGAAGGAGGAAGTGCCTTCCGACAGGCCATCCTCGGCGCCATCCACATCGTCATTGAGGATTAAGGTCGCGGCTGCATCCCAACTCCGTTAGAACCAATATAGACCTGCAGCGCTAGCCGCCCGGAAGAGCGGGGGGGGGGGGGAATGTTTTAGATCAGAGATCGAGATTTGTGCAGGTACGTACCCCTCATGGCATCCTCGACTATCAGAGACAACCCCCTCCAGTCAGCATTTTATTCCTGTGACAGAAGAACTTCCACAGGCGGAAAAGAATTTCACTCACGATCCCGTAGTTCGGACAAAGAGTCCAAGGACTGAGTGGAGGCATTGGCACCCGGCTTCTTGCCGTAAAGCCAGGAACCGACTCGAAACATACTTGATGGGGAGTGATCAAGATGAAAAGGGGGAGGGAAAAGAAAACAAACAAAGAAGGTGGGCACGAGACAAATTGGACGAGGAGGAAAGGAGGTCAGATTCCAGTCACGAGCCGGAGGGGCCCGGAGCCCAGGGAAAGAAGACGCAGACGGAGAGGGAGAGACGGCGTATCTCCCATCAAACCAGGCACGTAGAGACTTTCCGGGAACATAACCTTGTGAAAGAGATGGTAGAAGTAGAGAAGAAGAGAGACGGAAGATATAATCAAAGGGGGAGAGAGGAAAAAGGGAAAGTAAGTAGACTTGGGGGAGCGATATAATAAGCCCCCTCCGCAGAAGAAGGGTCCGGTAGTGGTGGAAGCCGTGGTCCACTTGCGGCGGCGGCGGCGGCGGCGGTGGTGGTGCGGCGAGGCGGAGTTAAACCGTGTGGTAAACCACGAACTCCAAACCAATAGTCAGTCTGGACTTGATACGAATAGATGATGCAGGAGGGGAAAGAGTAATTGAGGGTATTTTATCTTGGAAGGAGAAGTGTCTATTTCGAAAGTCAGCCTTGTTTAGGCAGAAAGTAGTGGTCTGGCAGTTGTTGTTGGCTTAACTCCGTCCTGTTGTGGATGAGGTTGCGTCAGATCGAGAATAATGCAGAAATAATGAATGCACGGCTCACTAATGCATAAGACTGCACTAAGCCTAATCGGGAGGCTGTCGGAGCTGGCTGGAGCTCAGGGCGTGCTGTCCGTCGTTCGCTGCTTGTTGCGAGCGGGCTTGCTTGCGCCTGCTTGCTTTCCCATCACATCACCGACCATCAACTCTTTCTGCTCAGTTACATTCAACAAGACCTCCACGAAACACATCCGGATTCTCATCGCATCAACCGTGAACCACCAAACCGCAATCCCTCGATCTACCAACGAACTTCACCCCCCCGCCTCACACCCTCCTCTCTTCCCCCCCCCCCCCCCCGCTCTACGCACGCCCGCCCATCATGTCCAACACCCAGACCCAAGACAAGGCCGAACCCAGCCAACAGCCCCAACAACAACAGAAGCCGTCTGTCCTGGAAGAGGACGACGAGTTTGAGGATTTCCCCGTGGAAGGTGCGTCTACTTCCCTCCCTACCCTTCAACTAAAGTCCCTCTCCCCTCCCCTCCACCGCAGAGATAAACCACCCCAACCCAAGACCCCAAACTAACACTCCCGAAAAACAAAACAGACTGGCCCCAGGACGAAACCGAACAAGGCACCACCGCCAACGGTACCGACGCCCACCTGTGGGAGGAGAGCTGGGACGACGACGATGCCGCCGAGGACTTCTCGAAGCAGTTGAAGTAAGCGCCCTCTTCCTTTCCTGTCCCTACCTACTGGCTTCGGGTGTGCTTGGATGAGGATGAAAGCTAATTCTTAATTTGTCGTGGCAACAGAGAGGAGTTGAAAAAGGTGGATGCGTCTCGTTGATTTGATCTGGTCTGTGGGTTGTTTGGTCGGAGGGATATGGATTTAGGTTTATTGTGGTTTATGAAGAATGAAATTGATTTTGTTTCGACGGGTTGGATTTTACGGTAGCTTAGGTAGGAAGGGGTTAATGGGTGGGGGTTGGCTTGAGGTTTGAGCAAAGGGTTTATGGTTGTAGAATGTGTTGCTTGGGGATTGATGTTTTGATATTGGGGAGAGCTGGTTGGAGGGCTGGTGCGTAGGGGTGCGAGTGTAGAGAGCTAGAGGCTTGATCTGGTTGGGTAGTACAGCTTACGCGCCTCCAGTTTATGCTGTGGTGATATCGTAGATACGGTCTACCTACATCTGTGGAAGTAAAGGCAGCAATCCCCAAGTCTTACATCATAGCTTAGAACCCGTCACTGAACAGAACCTCAGATCAGAACAATCCAATCAAAACGTTTGAAGATTATCATCATCCTTGTACATTACATTCGTTGAAGCATAGGACCTAGAACCCTCCGCATGGGCAGAACATGCAAGGGAAAGGCTGACAAGACAGGTAAAACGCACATATGCACTCCCCTCCCGCCCCATGCCACTTCCGCTGCACAGCCTACGCGGGGGCCTTGCCTACAACCTCCCAATTGACATTAGATATAGTTGGTAGAGAGTTTTTTACTTACTCGACGACAAGGCGGAGACACCGGGGAGGTCCTTGCCCTCGAGGAGCTCAAGAGAGGCACCACCACCGGTGGAGACGTGGCTGAGCTTGTCCTCGACGCCGTACTTGGCGGCGACGGTGGCGGTGTCACCACCGCCGATGATGACAATGGAGCCGGACTGGGCGGCCTTGACGACGGCGTCAAGGGTCTCCTCGGTACCCTTGGCGAAGGGCTTCATCTCAAAGACACCGCAGGGGCCGTTCCAGAGGATGGTCTTGGCCTCGGCGATGACCTCCTTGTACAGAGCGACGGACTTCTCGCCAACGTCCAGGCCCATGAAGCCCTCGGGGATGCCCTCGGCGTCGGTGGCCTGGCCGATCTTGGCGTCCTCGGCGAACTTATCGGCGGTGATGTAGTCGACGGGCAGGACAACCTTGACGTTGTGCTTCTTGGCCTTCTCCATGACCTCGCCGACGATCTTGCTGCCAGCCTCGTCGAACAGGCTGTTGCCGATCTTGACGCCCTCCAGGGTCTTCTTGAAGGTGAACGCCATGGCGCCGGTGATGATCAGGCTGTTGACCTTGGGCAACAGGTTGTCGATCAGCTGGATCTTGTCGGAGACCTTGGCGCCACCGAGGATGGCCAGGAAGGGGCGCTTGGGGCTCTCAAGAGCCTGAGCGAAGTAGTCCAGCTCCTTCTTGACGAGGAATCCGGACGCCTTCTGGGGAAGGTCGACACCGACCATGGAGGAGTGGGCACGGTGGGCAGTACCGAAAGCATCGTCTGTTTCGGGGTTGGTTAGTCGATCATACGATCAGCAGAAACAAAGGGAGGCGGCGTACTGATGTAGATATCACCCAGAGCAGTCAGGCCCTTGCGGAACTCGGCAACCTTCTCCTTGTCGGCCTTGACCTTCTTGCCCTCCTCGTCCTTGTAGCTGCCCTCCTCCTCGGCGTGGAAACGCAGGTTCTCCAGCAGGATGACCTGGCCGCCGGAGGCCTTGTTGACGGTCTCCTCGACCTCCTTGCCGACGCAGTCCTCGGTGAAGATGACGGACTTGCTCAGCAGCTTCTCGAGCTCGGCCACGACGGGCTTCAGGCTGTACTTGGGGTTGACCTTGCCGTCGGGACGGCCGAGGTGGGACATGAGGATGACGGCCTTGGCGCCATTCTCAATGGCATACTTGATGGTGGGGAGAGCACCGACGATACGCTGGTTGTTGGTGATGTTCTTGTTGCCATCCAGAGGGACGTTGAAGTCGACCTGATGAGAAAGGAAGGATTGTTAGTGGCCGCTCAATTGCTGTTCTGAGGGAGAGGTGGGGTGACATACGCGGATCAAGACACGCTTGTCCTTGAGGTCGACGTCAGTGATAGCAAGCTTGTTGGAGAGAGACATGGTGACAAATGACTGGGTGGAAATTGGTCAGATCAGAGTGGGAAGAGAAAGGGAAACGCAAGAGTAAAATTGGAATGGGATGGATTACTTTATGAGCGAACAGGCAATCAGATCACGGTATCACGGTGACCGAGTCTGGTTACAACGGGTTTGGTAGACTGGCGGGGTAATGTTTTGGTTGCAAATCGTCCATTTTGGTGGGGCGGCCGGTGAGAGATTCGCCGCCCACTCGGGCTGTTGCGGGACTGATGTCACCCACGGAAGTTTCAGGGCGATTGGGGGAAATCATTCAATTCTACCTCGGAGCATGTAGGAATTGGAGGGGTCTAGTCACTCGATCTAGAGCCTAGAAGTATACTAGAGGGGTCTAACATAGCTGTAAACCCCGTGGGCATACCCAGCTTCGGCTTGAACCCATCGACTCCGTCCCGTTCCGTGATCCTCTCTCCCCGAATCCGGAGAAGACATCCACCTACCTGGTCATCACCAGTGAGTACTAGGGTTGAGAAAGATACCATGCATTGCTGTCCATCTCCTTCCTAGAACGATTCACACACATGTTAATTAAAGAACGAATTTCCGACGCGCATCAATCGACATTGCCGGCATGGAAGATGACCTAGACTCCACCCATGCGACATGAAACCAGGACTCCCCTTCCCAACCGTTGATTTACAACGCCCAGTAAGCATAGAAAACGGAAAGAGCAATCATAATGAAACAGAACAGAGGTTAAAATGAGTGAGACCGGGTCGCAAATACCAATATACCTAAAGATGGAAGCTCGTCCTTCACTCCTGTTCCGCAGAGTTGGTCAACGACAGGTACGCAGTCCAGGCGATACCAACGGAGGACACAAACGGCTGCAGAACAATCAGTTAGCATACGCTTCATCGCCAAGTACTCATGCAAACGACTTACAATCTGGAACTGGATGGGGACAACACGGAAGTTCAGGACCTGGACGGCAGGCCAGAGAACGAAGTTGGCCTTCAGAGTGGGCAGGTACACGTCCTGGAACTTGCGCGACAACGCCCGGCGTCCACCCCCCTCAGCGACCGTCATGAATGTGAAGAAGCACGCCAGACCTATACCGTCGGTTAGCAATCCAGCCGCACTCCGCCACTCAGTCTGGGGTGGTTCTCTCATACCAAAAGGAGCGAAGATAAGCTGATCGCAAACAACCCGCTTCAAGGCCGGAATACTCGGGTTCTTCTTCGTGAGCGGGAAAGCGCGAGACAAGAAGCCGAACCAGTGGAATTGAAGCGGGGCCATGAAGAAGCCGTACGACATGAAACGAGTGAGGCGCTCAAAGTCGAAAGCCGGGGCTGCGTGCCTCGCGTGGCCCAGCTCCCCGAGAGCGGGCGGCTTCTCCTTGTCAAGGTCATGAATCTCAATCGAGATGAAATCCCCGCCATTCGACGACCTGCGTCCGGAGCCGGCTCTGACAGCTGTGATTAGCTGTGCGACGGTGTCTGCAATCCCACCCAAGATCTATAATAAGCATCGAGAGTCAGCTTGTTGTCGGCTTAGGGTGGCCCGTGTCGTGCTGGTTCGCAGGCTCTTACCGCATTGGTGACCATAGTAGTGAGGACTGGGAGATGAAGCAAGTCAGTCGACCGTTTAAAGCGCCCAAGGGGTTCGCGCGTTGAGCCTCACCTGGCTTCTCCGAATAGTAGGAGTTGAATTTGGCGGCAAGCCGCGTTGCCGCCGCCATCTCGATAAGGAAGATTATCGTATGAAGCAGTGGCTGTCGATGGAGAAATAGGAGGCAGATAACGTCAGTCTTAATTCTTTGTATGGATGTAAAAGAGAATAAATTTAGGATGCAGTAGTATGTGAAGCTGTGGTGGATAAGAAAAGTTTTAAGAGTGTCTATCTAGCACATACCAAACGACCGTAGATGTACCGCCGATTGAGTCCATCGAGGATGCTGCGACGTCCAGCGGAAAACATGACGGAGACGGGTTCAATGGGAATAAGGATTCACGGGGGTAATGGAAGAAAATCGAAGGCGAGGGCAAGGAAATGCCGGGCTGGCTGGCAGAGACGGCGAGGTATGACGCAAAGGATAAGTTACGTATGAAAAGGGTTCGTTCGTGGGGCGCGGGTGAATGAGTGAGCCTGGGGAGAGTGGGTGCACAGGCAACAACAACACAAGACAGACAGGAAGACAATAAGGGGTGGGGGAAGGGGAAAAGGGAGGTTGGGAATTCTCAGTAGTCAGTGGGAACAGCTGCGATGAAGTAAGAGGAGGCCGAAGATGAGAAATGATCGATTAAACAGGCCAGGTCAGCAGTAGCGGTTTAGTAGATGCAAGAGCGAGGTCATTCTACAGTCTCTCAAGCAGTCCAAAGTCAAGAGAGTCAAGAGAGTCAAGTGTATCATCATCCGTCCATTCTTCCATCATCCACTCGTGTGATCTTCCGCCCTTCTCCGCCCCTTGCCCCCCTTTCATTGCCGCTTTAGGGCTGAACCGCCCCCTCCTGATTGCCGCTTTACCTATCTTAAGCTTGGCATTGTCCTCCTCCTCCATTGTTCGTTCATCTTGTGCAAAGCAATGTTGGTGATTATCTATTCAATACAAAAACAGGTACCTGCACCAGTATCTTCAAGTTCTCATCATGGCCGTCACCGACCGTCCAAACGTGAGAACAACAATTTCTATACAAATTTACATCGTAGGCGGCATTCAAGCTATCATCACAAGTTACATACACCATCCTAGCTGGAGGACACTGGCGGCACTTCATTCCTGTCAAAGGAGAGTATGTCCGGGAGGTCTCGGATGTCTGTCGTTTCATTCGTGTTGACATCCACCAGTCGCACAGCTTCCAAGCGGAGGGCGCCCACCGCCAAGGGTAGCAGTTTCAGTTCCGTTGCAAAACATGTCCCAGGCAAGAGTGGTCTGTGAGAGTATGTGTTAGATCTATATTTAGTCAAGCAGCAGTGGCTCCAGAGGGATAAATCACTTACCCTGCACGAACATCGGTACTCATGGAAACAAGCTCGGCTTCCTGGCCCGCCACACTCTTCTGGAGCGCATGCACAATATTATCATCGGTCACGGCTTCTGCTACCTGGGTTTCCTTGCGAACAGAGGCCGACGAGGAAGATGGACGCGCCGTATGGGTTCGGGGATCGGGTCTCTTCCGTCGAGGGATAGCTATCATAGCAAACTTTCGAGCGGTGGTGGACCGATTCACGATGAAGACATTCCAAGCAAATGGCTTGCCAACCTCCACCCGAGGAGGGCCCGTGAAGGAGACTGACACCCCGAGATCTGTCGTAGAATATGCTCGGTCTCGTAAGGAAGTGCGATTGATTCCAGTTGCCGCTGCCGAGGCATTATTCAGATTTTGGTTCATGGGAAGGCTGGCCGGGCGGTTGTTCCGTTGCAATGCCTGGCTAGGAGCACCGAAGGTGGGGTTGAGGGGCAAGGAAAAGTCCACGTTTGTCCGCCATTGCATCAGAATCCGTGGGTTGCAATTGTCGGATAAGTGAATGACTGCCTCCAAGGATATATCGAGAACACTGACCATGACCGTCGTCGATGGGCTCGGATTCTGACCATATTCAGGTGTCAACTTATATACCAGAGTGACATCGTCTCGCGGCAGACACTTGATCGGTGGAACCAGCCCTGGCGCATCAGAAAGGGTCTCAATCGTCCCGTCTGATAGCCGGAGCTCGGCTTTGTCAAACGTCACGTCGCACGTGAGAAATGGTGTCACCTCAAAGTCGAGACTGGCGACAGTGGTTGGTCGCCCGCTATACGAGTTTAGCCGAGCATATCGTATTCTCGCACTAGCAGCAGGGACAACTCGGATCGGATGTCCTGAATGTTGTTGAATGTGGTATATGGGATCCTCGGTCTGTTTCGCCGGTACGACACGTAATAGCCGGGACGCTGGAAGAAAGGGATCTTTGAGAGAGAGGGATTTATCCGACGACAAAGGCTGTAGTACATTGGCCGATGCAGGTATTAGCGGCGGAAGGTAGTCGTCACCACGAGATATTTGTCGTTGATTCTTCGCTAGATTGAGGTTTGCGGAGGCGATGAAGAGGAGGGAAGGATGAGTGATGCGTATGCGCGGGCGTTCTATAGCAATTAGTACCGACAGACAACAGGGGCTTGCCAGTGAAAGCCTTACTGAGAAAAGCTTCGATGCTCCAAATCACATAGACATGGTTGCCCTCCCCCGAATCTCCCTCGAACTCATTAACCACCACCAGTGGCTCCTGCGCCTTAACGGCCCCTGAGAATATGAGATCTCTGGTGGGTGTCGGGTTCTCCGCAACAGTCTCGGCAGGATCAATAGCAAAGGCGTCCAAGCCAACCTCGAGCTGTGGAAGGTATTGTTTTAGGCTTGCAGGCGAACAATTGGAGAGTCGGAGGACGATGCGGACGGTGCAGAACTCATCTGTATCCCGCTATAGATGAGTAAGAGACAGAGCTCGAGTTAGACGACAGGTCATAACGTACCGAAGAAGAGAACGGAGCGTTGAGGTATAAGCGAGAGGACAGAGGTCAAGTCATCTGCGCCTCCTTCCAGAGCAGACGTCAGAGCAGCCTCCAAGTCAACATCTGAAGCATGCGGGACAACTGTATCTAGAACAGCATGCCTGAGGAATTCCCCGGGGACATCAAGACTCGGCATACTAGCGGGGAGACGATGATCGCATAACCCTCTGCCTGGGAAAGAACGGACAAGAATTGACACGCGATAGATCGACAGAGGATCATGAACAGATTATCGAGCGAGCCGCATAGTCGTCAGTGGAAGCCAGGGACCAAGTGGAGGCCAACTCCATCCATGTTATTGTGACCCTGGCTGGGGAGAGCCGTGCAAACAGAACAAACACCCTTAGTGCAGGAACCGGAGAGCTTCTGCGAACCGACGCCGCCGCTCCGTGCTACTTTTTCTCGTCTTTCCATTCATCGCAACAGCATTCCCCCTTCATCCTGGGAGCTTTTGCACTTTGACTATGAATCCGATGAATGGTCCAGGGGGTGCGCCCGCCCTGTGGCAGGAGGCCCGCAATGCCGAAGGCCGAGTCTACTACTACAACGTGCAGACGAAAGCCACGCAATGGGCGAAGCCTGTCGAGCTGATGACGCCGGTTGAGGTTTGCATCTCCACTTTAACGCGATTCTGCGTGACTGAGGCTAATATGGCACATCCTTCATCTCTAGCGCGCGCTGGCGAATCAACCTTGGAAGGAATACACAACGGATAATGGGCGCAAATACTGGTACAACACTGAAACCAAGCAGAGCACCTGGGAGATTCCAGATGCTTACAAAAACGCGTTGGCACAGGCTCAACCTCCTCAGCCTCCCCCTGTAGCGTGAGTTTGATAAGCTCTTGTGTGAGCCTGGCTGTGTCTGTTGTGCTGACTGAACCTTGAACAGAGCCCCGACATTCGTTGCAGGTGGAGTCAGCTCGTTCCCATCATATCCCCAGCAAAGAGAACGCGACGACTACGAGCGAGGAGGCTATGGTGACCGCCGTGGAGGATACAATTCAATGGACACTAATGGTCTAGCAGCGGCACCCGTCTTGGGTAACCAGCAAGCCGACCCGGAATACGGCTCCTTTGAAGAAGCCGAGAGTGCATTCATGAAGATGCTAAAACGTCACAACGTGCAGCCTGAGTGGACTTGGGAGCAGACCATGCGTGAAACCATCAAAGATCCTCAGTATCGTGCCCTGAAAGACCCCAGAGACCGCAAGACAGCCTTTGAGAAATATGCGGTCGAGGTTCGCATGCAGGAAAAGGATCGGGCGAAAGAAAGATTCGCTAAGCTCAGAGCAGATTTCAATACCATGCTGAAACGTCATCCTGAAATCAAGCACTACAGTCGGTGGAAGACCATTCGACCGATCATTGAGGGCGAGACCATCTTCAGGTCCACCGACGACGAGGCTGAGAGACGCCAGTTGTTCGAGGAGTATATCATCGAGCTCAAGAAGGATCACGTTGAACAGGAAGCGGTCAAGCGCAAGGCTGCCATGGACGAATTAGTCAATATCCTGAAATCCTTGGACCTCGAGCCGTATACACGCTGGTCTGAGGCGCAGGCGATCATCCAATCCAACGATAGAGTGCAGAGCGACGATAAGTTCAAGACCCTCAGCAAGTCTGATATCTTGACTGCTTTCGAAAATCACATCAAGGCGCTGGAGAGAGCATTCAACGATGCTCGTCAGCAGCAAAAAGCCGCGAAGGCCAGGAAAGAACGCCATGCTCGGGAGCAATACCTTGAGCTTCTCAAGGAATTGAGGTCACAGGGTAAAATCAAGGCCGGCAGCAAATGGATGAACATTTATCCTCTGGTCCACGAAGATCCTCGATATCTTGGCATGCTGGGGAACTCTGGATCATCCCCCATCGATCTTTTATGGGATGTGGTTGAGGAGGAGGAGCGGTCGCTGCGCGGCCCCCGGAACGACGTATTGGACGTGCTTGATGTGAGATTCCCTCAAAGTGCCCCCTGCAACGGTCGCTAACCATATTTTCAGGACAAACACTTCGAGGTCACTCCCAAGACCACATTGGAAGAGTTCAACTCCATTGTATCCGCCGATCGCCGAACAGCAAACATTGACTCTGAGATCCTGCAGCTTATCTTCCAGCGGATCCAAGAGAAGGCCATTCGACGCAACGAGGAAGAGAAGCACGCCGCCGATCGGCATCAACGACGCGCCGTCGACGCGTTGCGCTCGCGCATCAAGCGCCTCGAACCCCCTGTCCGAGCCAACGACACCTGGGAACAAGTGCGGCCGAGAATCGAGAGGTTCGAAGAATACAAGGCGCTGGAAACCGATGAACCCCGTCAAGCAGCCTTTGACAAAGTGATCCGGCGCTTGAAGGAGAAGGAAGAAGACGCCGAGAGAGAGAGGGAGGCCCGCGACCGAGACCGCGGCAGCAGCCGTCGGGACCACCACGACCGGGATCGGGACCGTGAGCGTGAGCGCGACCGCGATCGCGATCGCGACCACCGCAGCGGTCTCTCCTACCGTGGCGAACGGCGAGGAGCGTCGAGCCGCCTCAGCCGGACCCCGGAGCCCGACGCCTACGAAGCCGACCGCCGCAAAGCCCAAGCCGACCGCGAACGCTCTTACCGCAAAGCCAGCGGCCTATCGCCCGTGCGTGAGCGCCGCGAAGACCGCGACCGAGACCGCGACCGCGAACGTTACCGCGAGCGGGAGCGCGATCGGGAGCGCGATCGGGACCGTGAGCGGGACCGGGATCGCGACTGGGATCGCGAGCGCAGCGTCCGGTCCCTGAGCCACTACGACCGGGAGCGGCGCGACCGCGAAGAGGAGCGCGAGCGCCTCTACCGCACCCGCGGCGACCCCCGTGGCAACCGTGACGAGCTGGACTACGGCGCCGACACGAAGAGCACCACCAGCAACAACAACAACAACAACAACAACAACGACCGACGACGCAGACGCGACAGTGACGCCGAGAGCGTGGCCAGTCGCTCCGCGAAGCGGTACCGTCGCGAGAGCCGAGAACGCGATCGCAGCAGAGGCGCCCGCAGAGGTGGCGCGGCGGAGAGGGACCGTCGCGAACGTACCCCCGTCGCGGCTGCAGCTGTGGCCGCACCAGGGCCAGCTGCTGCCGTAGCAGATGAAGCGAAGAAAGAGGACAAGGCGGTTCACTCCGGCAGCGAGGAGGGTGAGATTGAGGAGGATTAGGCGTGCGTTTGGAAGATGGCTACCCCTACTGCCACTTTCTTTCTTCCCAGGGTTAGATAGAATAAAGCCCAATCCATGTCCTCATCGATTGAGAATTCTTGCAGCAGAGGTGTTGTATCCTGGAAATGGACCCCGTGGTTTGTGTATTATGTAGCGTGAGTATATAGCATATAATCTGGTTTCCTGATCAACCTGGTGAATGCCGCAGAACTGTACTAACCACGCAAGATAAAGGCTAACTAACTAACATCGATTACTTTGGTACAGTGATACTCAAATCATAATCCCAGCTCGCAATTCGGTCTCTGCACAGGAATCCTGGTGGATCATGCATAGGTGCGGAACGAACAATATATTATCCACTGAGCGGGGCATGGAATATCCTATTATTCAAGCACCTAAACCAACATCCACGAGAGATCTGTACATGGTAACAAAGCTGCTCAGGGTGACCCTTGAAACTAAAATTGCTGATTCCTGGTTTGTTGGTAAGTTGACCAGCTAAGTGATTAACTAGATGGGATGTGGGCATTACGTGACCAGATCACCAAAGAACGCCGCTAGAACCAAGCTACCAGCTACAAAGCTATTCTCATCATTGACAGAATGCACAAGGAGCACATTCAGCAAAGAAGTATTTCAAATTGTATACATTTTGCATGCAGGAATATATGCTTCTAATCATATAGACAGTGGTCATCTCGCGACACTCACCCACAGCTTGACCAAAGACCAGCTGATACCCCTCCAATCCAAACCGTTGTCGGCAGAATCATCCATGCCATGAAACATAAAACATATTCACGACGAAGGGAGGAAGAAAAAAGGAGTAAACTTTTGACAAACGAACTGAACAAACTCCGACATGACTTTTGACGCCAGCCCCAAACCAAAAACCATTGTAACCCAAACGTTAAAAACTCGAAACAACAAGACTGTGCAAGACTTGCGCGCATCTGTCATTCCAACTTCGTAAGCATAGCGGCGGAAAGGAACAAAGGCAGATGCCAGGCTGTTGCAGGTATGGGAAGGCAAATGGGAATAGAGGGAAAAGGAACCGGAGGCGACAACACCAGCGGATGGCTGAGGGGGCAACTACAACTGGAACAGGTGGGAAAGAGATAACCCTCCACTGCTACAGAAATTAGCTCAGCTTGTCGTCGTCGTCTTCCTCGTCCTCATCCTCCTCCTCCACAACACCACTTCCCTCACTAGGCCGGCGACCGCCACGATGGCCGCGCCGGCCCAGAGCTGCTGAGGCCTTAGTACCGCCAAAAAACGCAACTAGCCAAAGGTACCTCCGGTGCCGGCGACGTCGGTGGCGCCGCCGGTCGGAATCGCGGCCGTCGCCATCGCGAGGCACGCGGTTATGTTTGCCAGGAACGGCCTTTTCACTGTTCATCTTCCAAGAAGAACTAGAGAGTTCAAAGTTAGTATGATGTTGCACGACGCGGGGAGTAACGTGACTTACGTAGTTGCCCTGGAGCTTCTGCTCCTGGTCCATCTGACTCTGGTTCTTGTTGATACGAGGACGGTAGCTGTTGGGGTCACGGCGGAAGGTGACATCCAGGTTCTTCAGGAAGGTGTTGCAACCAGTGACGAGGGACTCGGGGCTGTTAGCGTGAGCATCGATGGACGGCTTACCGTCGAAGACAATGACACGGTCAGCCAGGTAAGTGGCCATGATGAAATCGTGCTCGACGATGAAAGCGGTCTTCTTGGTGTGCATGATGAAACGCTTGATGACTCTGGCAGCTATGATACGCTGCTCGGAATCGAGGTAAGCACTGGGCTCGTCAATCAGGTAGATATCAGCGGGCATTCCGAGTGCCAGCACGATAGCGACACGCTGCAATTCACCACCGGACAAGTTCTGGACTTCCTGGTCGATGAAATCGTCAATCTTGAGGGGCTTGTAGACATCGGTCTGGAACTGGGGCGACAGGAAAGCGGCCTTGATACGCTTGAAGAACAGCTGACGGACGGTACCCTGGAACTTGGGCGTGATCTTCTGGGGCTTCATGCTGATGTTCAAGCGGGGAATGGTGATGCCATTGTCGGGCTTCTCGACACCAGCAAGCATTCTACAGAAAGTAGTCTTTCCGGTTCCGTTCTCACCCATCATGACGATGATCTCAGAGTCAGTGAAATCACCGGCGTCGATCTTCAGGTGGAAGTTGCCAAGAGTCTTCTCCATGGTAGGGTACTTGAAAGCACGGGCCTTGTCAACCATGAAGTCATCGCCAGATTCAGCGAGACGGAAAGTGAGAGACTCATCACGGAACCGCAGGTTCTCGGTGGGGATGTGACCATCCAAGAAGATGTTGATACCTTCACGGACAGAAGAAGGCAGAGTAACGACACCGTAGGCGGCGGGTCTTCCGTACAGAACGCAAACGAAGTCGGACAGATAGTCAAGCACGGACAAATCGTGCTCGACAACAATGACATAGTCGTCAGGGCGGAGAAGCTCGCGGATAGTGCGGGCAGCGGCCAGACGCTGCTTAACATCAAGGTAGGAAGAAGGCTCGTCGAACATGTAACTGCAGCAATGTCAGCGCTAATCGTAGTCCAAGCACCTGGTGCACCCTTACACATCAGCCTTCTGCACGCAGACCAAACCGATGGCGAAACGCTGAAGCTCTCCACCAGACAGGTGGTCAATGTCACGGTCCTGGACCTGTCTCAATTCTATGTTACCTGTCAGCGAGAGAGAAAGACCCAGTTGTTAATGATGACCATACCCAGAGTGTCCAGGATGTGATCCATGTTGCCCAGCTGAGAACGGGCCTTGATGAGGTCACCAACGTTCTTGACGGGTCCCTTGACGGCCCTGGGGATCTGGTCGACGTACTGAGGCTTCACAACAGCCTTCAGGTTGTCTTCCAGGACCTTGGTGAAGTAGTCTGCGGAGTGTTAGTACACAGATTTCTCATCGAAGTCTCTGGTTGTTTCAGTTTCGACGTACTCTGCAGCTCCGAACCACGGAAGTACTTAAGGATCTCCTCCCAGTCCGGGGGGTTATCGTAACGACCAAGGTTGGGCTTCAATTTGCCGCTGAGAATCTTCAAAGCCGTGCTCTTTCCAATACCGTTGGTACCGACAAGACCGAGAACCTGACCGGGACGGGGCATGGGGAGACGGTGCAGCTTGAAGCTGTTGGCGGAATAACGGTGGGTGACCTCAGTCTCCAAGTTGGTGGGCAAGTTGATGATGTGAATAGCGCCAAAGGGACATTTCTTGGGACAGATACCGCAACCGATACAGAGGCGCTCGGAGATGAAGGCGATCTTGGATTCGGGGGTGACCTCGATACAGAGCTTGCCCGTACGGACGACGGGGCAAGACTTCTTACATTCCTGGCGACATTTCTAGGCAGAGGAAAAGAAGAAAGTTAGTACGGGGACAATGCGGAGGCCATACATAGATAGAAGTCTCGACATACCTTGGGCTTGCACTATCACGAGCAAATCGATGCGTCTCAGTAATTGTTATATATGCGACAGGCGCAGCATACCCTTCATGCTGCGGGGTACTCGAAACTTACCTTGTCACTGTTGACAATAGCAACTCTGTACACGTAGACGAATTAGTATACCAGATTCTTAGACGCAGTAACTCGGTGTGTAGAGCAGCATACCTGGTAAGCCTGTCGGACATGGTGGCTGAAGTTCAGATCAGATTGAACACGCGGGACAATGTGGGCAAGTCAAAAGCAGCAGTCAAGAGACGGAACCGTCGATGTGGGACGTGATCTCGAGGAGATGCGGCAGAAAACGGTGCGACAGTTGTCCTGGCCGAAGGGAAAATGCCAGATATCCGCGCAAAGAGCACCAGGCAAGAAAGCGAGGAGGAACGTTGCTGGAGATGCGCGACGAAGAGGGGCTCTGGGCGAGAAAACTTGCCGGGCATTGTGGGCAGCTGTGGCGGCCTCAGGCCGAGACCTGCTTCTGCATTATTTCCTGTGTCTGTGATTGGTAGATTGTATGCACTGAACAATACTCGACCGGAAGAGGGGTTGATCCGAGCCTTAAACCACGTGATCTGGCCTCCCCGCTATCCCCGTTGGGGCCTCGCTTGTGGCGCGCTAAGCCATTCTCAGGCTGGTGGGTAGTTGCAGCCTGAAGGCTCAGGCGTTCCGGCCAATCCCTTCACAGCGACTCGTCCTCCTCCCGCCGACGTACAACTCTCTTCCTACTCCCTCATCAGTTTCTCAGCGGCCTCCCATCGTCCCTCTGCTGCCTCCACCATTCCCATCCTCCTCCCACCCCCACCTTTTTGCTATAACGTTTTCACCATTCCTTCATTCAGTTTCCCCTGAATCGGGGTCACCAAGCTATGGACTGTAAGTAATTTGTTCTCTTTTTCTCGCTTGCTAGGCGTGTTCTGGCTCTGTCGGCTGGAGTACTTCTCCACGATCTCGACCCACCGGAGAACCTCGATTATACCTCGATCTGGTCGGGGAAATGGGTTCTTGGGACTTTTCTGCTCAAGGCCTAGGTGGTTTCCCCCGGATCCTCACAGTTTTGACTTGCATTTGCCCCTCTACTGCCCCCATCTTTCCACAACACACTCTGTCGCGTTTCATCCAACCCGTCATCAAAAACATGTCCTTGCATCATACCTTCATCTCCTACCTTGTTCCCCCATCGATTCGACTCAATTCTGCCAGAATCTGCGTCGCGTATCCCTGCTTCATATGATAATGTCCCTCCTGTCCCGCGCCGGGCCTGTGCTGAGCTTCAATGCTGATGCGTTTCATCCTCAACAGCTACTAGCATGGTGATCCCATCGATATCCGACCCCTCCGCAACAATGGGCTTGGTAAATGGCTATTCGGCCTCGTCCACGCCCAATGATGCTAGCATGAGGGATGACCTAGCAATCAGCGACAGCGGCAGTAACGCATCCGACACTTATGCAAACCACGCCGAACGCGATTCCTCCTCCCCCGAAGCAGATGCCGCCGACGAGTCCTATGATGCCGGCTCTCCTGATGCTCAGGGGGATGGGGACGCTTCGGAGACTGAGAACGAGGCGAACGAGAGCAGTCAGTCCAGCGATGAAAATTCTTCATCGTCGGAAACCAAGCATGACTACCAGCGTAAGTCACCGTCGGTCAACGAATCCGACTATATGCGACAGAATCCCGATCTCTATGGGCTTCGTCGAAGTGCCAGAGCGCGCACAACGCGTCAAGTAGTCGACTCCCCCTCCGAATCCGAATCCGACGCAGTAGCACCTCGCTCAAAGCGTCGACGCGCCGTTGCCTCACAACCACCCTCCAAGCGCCCCTCCCGGTCCGCAACACAATCCTCATACTCTGAAGACTCGGACAGTGATGAGTACGGCGGAAGTCGTGCTCGCACAAACAGGGCGAGGCGACGGAAGCTTCTTCAGTCCTCCACAAACAGCCTACCCTCACAGCCCGAAGTCCGATTCTCCACAAGAAACGCGTCCCGGGTCTCTAATTACAACGAGGACGAGGATGACTCAATGTTTGAGGAAGACCCGGACGAAGTGATGATGGACAACTACTGGGTGAACACAGTGGAGGATGACCGTCCAGCGGTCGACGTTGTGCTCAACCATCGCCTCAGGGACGGTGTGGATCCCAGTAGCCTCGACCTCAGCCGTCATGACTTTGAATTCTACATTAAATGGCAAGGGAAGTCCCATTACCACGCATCATGGGAAACCACAGAAGGCCTCGCCAACTGCCGTAGCACTCGCCGTCTCGACAACTACATTCGAAAAGTCTTGATGGAAGACATCCGTCTGCGCAATGATGAGGATGTCGCTCCTGAGGATCGGGAAAAGTGGAACCTCGACCGAGAGCGGGATGTAGATGCTATCGAGGACTACAAACAGGTGGAACGAGTGATCGGTATGCGTGAAGGCGAGGAGGGAACCGAGTACCTCGTGAAATGGAAACGCCTCTTCTACGACTCTTGTACATGGGAGGATGAAGACTTAGTCAGTAACATCGCGCAACGCGAGATAGACCGTTTCCTAGATCGTTCCTCTCGCCCACCGGTCTCTGACAAGTCGGAAACGAATCCAGCCACGCGGAAGCCGTTCGAAACCATCAAAGGCACCCCGTCCTTCCTGCAGAATGGCCAGCTCAAGGAGTTTCAGGTCAAGGGTGTCAACTTCATGGCCTTCAATTGGGTGAAAAACCGCAACGTTGTGCTTGCCGACGAGATGGGTCTTGGAAAAACGGTGCAGACTGTGTCTTTCATCAATTGGCTACGCCATGTACGGCGTCAACAGGGTCCTTTCGTCGTCGTCGTGCCTCTCTCTACTATGCCGTCCTGGGCCGAGACCTTCGATAACTGGACGCCCGATCTTAACTACGTTGTCTATAACGGCAACGAAGCTGCACGCACAGTCTTACGAGAGCATGAGCTTATGGTTGATGGGAACCCCAAGCGACCGAAGTTCAACGTCCTTCTGACAACTTACGAATATGTCCTGTTAGACTCGGGCTTCCTGAGCCAGTTCAAGTGGCAATTTATGGCCATTGACGAAGCTCATCGGCTGAAGAACCGCGAGTCCCAGCTATACCTGAAGCTACTCGAGTTCAGATCGCCTGCCCGGCTCCTGATCACCGGTACTCCCATTCAGAACAATCTGGCCGAGTTGTCTGCGCTTTTGGACTTTCTTAATCCAGGCCTGGTCGAAATTGATGCCGACATGGACCTGAATTGCGACGCCGCCTCACACAAGCTGGCGGAATTGACCAAAGCTATCCAGCCGTTCATGTTGCGGCGAACCAAATCGAAGGTCGAGTCCGATCTTCCTCCCAAGACCGAAAAGATCATTCGAGTAGAACTCTCGGATATTCAATTGGAGTATTACAAGAACATTCTCACGAAGAACTACGCTGCACTCAATGACGGTGCTCGGGGTCAGAAACAATCACTACTCAACATCATGATGGAGCTCAAGAAAGCCAGTAACCATCCCTTCATGTTTCCAAATGCGGAGGCTAGGCTGCTCGAAGGTAGTATTCGTCGAGAAGATGTGCTGAGAGCCATGATCACTAGCAGTGGTAAAATGATGCTCTTGGATCAGCTGCTGGCCAAGCTCAAGCGCGATGGTCACCGCGTACTGATCTTCAGTCAGATGGTCAAGATGCTGGACATTCTTGGTGACTATATGGAGTATCGTGGGTACACATATCAGCGTCTCGACGGAACCATTCCCGCGGCAGCCCGTCGCCTAGCCATCGAACATTATAATGCACCTGGAAGCAATGATTTTGCCTTCATCCTCTCGACTCGAGCTGGAGGTCTCGGAATCAACCTTATGACTGCAGATACCGTTGTTCTCTTCGACTCTGACTGGAACCCCCAGGCTGATCTGCAAGCGATGGCAAGAGCGCACCGTATCGGTCAGACGAGGCCAGTCAGTGTGTATCGCATGGTCTCGAAGGATACTGTGGAGGAAGAAGTCATTGAAAGAGCGAGAAATAAGCTTCTGCTGGAATTCATCACCATTCAACGTGGCGTGACCGACAAGGAAGCTTCAGAAATTCAGACCAAGATGGTTCGGAGTGGAATTTCCATCGCTGAGCCCAATTCTACGGACGACATTTCGCGTATCCTCAAGCGCCGTGGTCAGAAGATGTTTGAGCAGACTGGTAACCAAGCGAAACTTGAGCAATTGGATATCGACTCGGTTCTTGCGAATGCCGAGTTGCATCAAACGGAACAGGCCGAGGGGATCCAAGCGGATGGTGGTGAAGAGTTCCTCAAGGCTTTCGATTACGTCGATATTAAGGTTGACGATCTCAGCTGGGACGATATTATTCCCAAAGAGCAACTCGAGGAGATCAAGGCCGAAGAAAAGAAGAAAGCGGATGAGCTGTATTTGGCGGAGGTCATCGAACAAAACCGGCCTCGCAAGCGCAACATCCCCGGTGATCTCCGAGATTCGCGTGAAGAGCGCAAAGCCAAGAGACAGGCTCGAGCCCAAGTCAGCATGGACAATGGCGACGACTCGGACTCGATGGCTCAATCGGACCCCAAACGCCCACTTGTGGAAAAAGAATATCGTCATCTCCTTCGAGCGTTTTTGCGCTACGGTGATCTTGGTGATCGTGAAGAGGATATTATTCGCGAGGCGCGCCTACTCGACCGTGACAGGGAGACGGTAAAATCCGCTCTTCGGGAAATCACCGATAAAGCCGCCTCTTTGGTCAAAGAGGACATGCATAAATTGGAAGCTCTTGAAAATTCTGGCCGGGTCCCAACCAAAAAGGAAAAGAAGGCAGTGTTATTTGACCTCCATGGCGTCAAGCGCCTCAACGCGTATACCATCGTTGAACGGCCTACCGAGATGCGTATCTTGAAAGAGGCACTTGCTCAAGTCACAGGGTATTACAACTTCCGTGTCCCCGATGCTACGAAAGCCGCAGACTACACCTGCGCATGGGGCGCGCGGGAAGATGGCATGCTCTGCGTTGGTATTGCACGACACGGTTACGGTGCTTGGGCGCAGATCCGGGACGACCCGGACCTTGACCTTGGGGACAAGTTCTTCCTTGAGGAGCACCGCGTAGAGCGCAAGAACGAGCGCTTGAATGCGGAGGATAAAACGACCAAGTCCCCCGGTGCGGTCCATCTCGTCCGCCGCGCAGACTACCTCCTATCTGTCCTTCGAGACAGAGCGACGAATGGCTCGAACATGAGTGCAAGACGAGCTCTTGAAAGCCATAGACCAGGGCGCAAAGGCTCCCGCGCCCACGCCAGCAATAGTGTCTCGGCCTCTCCCGCACCCTCGGTGTCTCGGAAGGGACACCGCGAAACTGAACGATCCAGGCATCGATCCAACACGCATGTCCGCGACAGCATGGAGAGGCATCACACTCCTAATCAAGATTCTCGCCAGCGCTCCGCTCATGATGGGGACCGCCGTCACCGCACGTCGGACGCCTCCAGTGAGGATATCCGTCGCCGAAAACCCAACGAGAACGGGCACTCTGCGGGCAAGGAGGAAATGGAATATAGGTTCTTCAGGCCCATTCGCGAAAATCTAAAGAAGGTGTCAGCTGTCACCAAGGAGAACTTCCCGGACAAAATGGAGCGCGCCCATGAACTCAGGCGGCTTCTGTCCAAGATTGGCGAATTTATCAAGCAAAACCTACGAGGAGACGGGATGGACTCTCTGGAGACTCGTCTGTGGTATGTTAGCCGCGAATTGTCTTTGGTTCGGTTGAGCGAATACTAACCTGGATTTATAGGGACTATGTCGCGGTTCACTATTGGCCCAACAAAGACGTCGGAGGGGCCAAAGTTCAAGCGATGTATCGCAAGATCGCTGCACTCAAACCAGAGGCGGCTGCGGCGCCCAGCGCGCCGAACGGGGGATCGAGTAGACCTTGATGTTCAAGTCGGCCGACAGAGCGAGCTAGCTGTTTGAGGATACTGGGGTTTATATTATCGCGGAGGGAGTTTCTTCCATTTCCTTGTTGTCAGTTGCAGGTACATACATAAGCATTTATTTTTGGGCAAGCATGGCGACGGCGTCCGGCATGATCGAATCTATGAAAGGGGTGTTTGTTGTCGACTCGAACCATGAGATGTGATGTTTGCATGGCAATAATTTCCTTTTTCGATGCTGTTGTTTCTTTTGGTCCTGCTCTCCATCCATCTACATCTATTTATGTCTTCCATTCTCATACCATCATGCCGCCTCTGGGAGCGATTGAACCTTGAATCTTTGTCGTGTTTGAGCCTGGGTTCAACACTTATTTTATTTTTGTTTTTGATGTCTCTGATATACACATACCTGCCTACCTGGAGTGCAGGGACCGGTCTCGCACCATACAATACCACCCATTTTGACCAGCTTTCCTACTATCCTCTGCTAGAGTTACCCAGCCCTTAGACCAGCAGATAAGCGTTTCCGGGGGAGAACCCCCGGACCCCCCTTTCTTTCAGCATCCTGGCAACCTCAATTCATAAACTGGTTCTATGAAGCGTCCCGGGGGAGAACCCCCGGACCCCCCTTTCCTTCAGCTCCCTGGTCCAGCGCAATCTACCATTTCTATATCTACAACAGCAACCACAAGAAGAAATCAGACTACATCCTCACCACCGCCATACCAAAGCCGCCCCCTCCTAACCACCAACCCAGGATCCCCCTCGCCCCCAACCACCCACTCGCACTCAGAGCCCTCCAACCGCTCATTCACCTCCTCCACCTTCCGCACAAACTCCGCTACACGCTCGCGATCCACCCCGCCATCCTCCCCCTTGAACCAACGATCACTCACAAACCGACCGATCGTCACATGCGCCGAAGGCACAATATACCGCGACGCAACAGGCAGCCCCGCGCCGCGCACCAGCTCAAACACATCGCGCCGCAGATGGTGATACGAGTAGTGCGCGCCGTCCTCCTGCGCAGAGCCACCCTGACCCCCACCCCGACAAGCAGAAGTAATACCAGGCAAAAAACAAACCGCAACACCCGCCCCATCGAAACAAACCATCGGCCTCACCAACCCCACCGGCTTCACCCCCGCTAACCCGCGTATTTCAGCAAGCGTAGCCCCGCCCCCCGCCCCACGAAGCAAGCGCACCAACCCCTCAATCTCCTCCGCAGAAACAGAGTGCGTGATTTCCAGGACGGTGGTGTGCAGGCTCTCGGGCGGCATGAACCAGGCGTCGGGCGCCACGTCTTGCAGATCCGTCTGGATGGAGCGTATGAGGTCCCGGATGTGTTGCGGTGGGCGTGCCCAGACGGTGAGGCAGTTGCGCGGGTCAACGTAGTCTGGTTCCTGTTCGGGCCCGGCGAGGCGTCGGAGGATGGGGTCGATGGTGAAGCCGTGGAAGTCGGGGGCGAGGAGTTTGGTGGTTTGGGATTTTTGGCGCGTTGTGCGGTGGGTTGTGTAGTGTGTTTGGAGGGTTTCCTTTGGGTAACCGGTTGTTTAGAGGGAGGGGTGTTTGGGTTGGGTGGGTTTGAAAGGGGCCTTACCGGGTTGTTGTTCGTTGTTGTTAGGAGGGGTTGGAAGGGGTTGTCGTTCGAGATTATGGTTGACGACATTTTGGAGGTTGGTTGGGGTTTGGTTATAGTGTTCTTTGTGGTGGTGGTGGTGTTGCTTGAGGAGGTAGATGGGCTCGTATGTGTCTGTTTTGTAGTCACCTCTCTTTATGGTGACTCACGGAGAGACGTCGTGTGGTTTCAGTTGCGACAGTCTAGATGCGCCACCCGGAGCGGCATGGTCTTGGATGCTGACCAATCCTGGGCTGGCTGTCGCTGGATAGGATGAGATTAGCGATGGTGCCGATGGTCATCGTCAGGGGTTGGGCTGTGCTTTTGATCCAGTGTTTGTGGTGGATGAGGTGGAGTTGCGCTCCGGATAGACCCCCGTCGAACCTCGGCATGTCAGGTAGGTAAACATCGGATAGTGTGGTCTCACTCTCTGAGTATGGCAACATCCTGTAACACCATTGCAATGGGGGATGAGAAGCTTACTCGGGATACTCTCTCAGAAACAAGTCTTTGGCGTGCAATGGCAAGTCAACCTTGAAGGATCCCCACGCAGGAACGGGAGTCCAAGACAACTGCGGGGAGATCGTCAACTTCTTCTCTTCCTCCTCTTCTCTCACTTCAAGCCCTGCTTTCTAGGAACCAGTCTGGTCAATGGACCAGCGACCACGAGACTCAGTACGGATTTGAAATTACCCAAGCCTATCGCAACACTCTGCCTACACGAAGTTCTTTTATTTCTGTCGGATTGCATAGTACTCGGTGCTATATGCGTATAGTGCAATAACACTACGCCTATACAAAAGAGGGATATTCCCAGCCAGATATAAGAATGGATGTCACTCACTTCTCGCTACTCTCATCCCTCATCTCATTTGTTGTTCGCTATGCTCTCAAGAGCAGTAAACCGGCAACATGAAGCTCACCTCAACTTGGGCAATACTAGCCCTGGCAGCCACTGTCTTCGCTGAATCGGAACCGGGTTACTATGCAAACCTGACATGGGAGCCACCCTGGACCCTTTCAAACTGGAGTAATCTCACCGTAGAGACACAAAACAGGGACATTTATCGGCATGCTGAACGATATTTACCCCGACGTCCGCCAGTACTTGCTCGTTCCCTACGCCCAGGTATGCCTAGCCTCATTAGGGAGTCAGTAGAGTGAAGATCAAGATTGACCAAAGCCATTGCATTGCAGCCACCAGTCGGAGATCTCCGCTGGCAATCTCCACAGAAACTGAAGAAGATGAACCGCAGATTCGACTCGACCAGATACGGACCAGCTTGTCCGCAGTATGTCTCCAGCTACGACAGTATCTGGACCGAGTACTCGCCCACTGCGCTACTCTACAGCCTCGGCGGATCCCGGACTGAGGGCTCAACCGCCTGGTTCACAGCAGAAAAGACTGTCTGTTCCTAGCAATCTGGACTCCAGCATCGGCCCATCACAAGTCCAATCTCCCAGTCGCACTCTTCGTGACCGGCGGCGGCGGCGTCAGCAGGGGCATTGCGATTCCGTCCCAACTGCCGCCTCACCGGGTCTCGCGCTCTCAAGAACACATCGTGGTTACGATAAATACAGAGTAAACATATTCGGGAGTTTGTTACCCTACCCTACCCCAAAATGTACAACCTATCTAACAACACTGTTGGTAGACCCCAAAGTCCGAAGCCTAGACGAAACATCCCTAACTCTACTCAACGTACGAGCAGCAGTGGAATGGGTCTACGAGAACATCGAGTCCTTTGGCGGCAACAAGGACAACATCATGGTCAGCCTGCCTCCGTCACCTTCATTACCTCTGCCCCGGTACCCCAATTTAACACCACAATGCAAAAAAGCTATGGGCCCAATCCCAAGGCGCAGTCCTAACACACCTATACACGCTCGCTTTCCCAGACAACCCACTAGCCACCAAATTCGGAATCCTTTCGCAACCACCCTCCGTAATCATCAAACTCACCACCACAGCCGATGTCTACGCAGACTTCGACATAATCGCCAAAGCCCTAGGCTGTAACTACGGGTCCGACGCGATGGCGGAACTAGAATGCATGCGCAAGGTCTCTTGGGTGCGGATCTCGGAGTTCATCAGGCGGTACACCGCGTCGCCATCGATCTCATTCAGCAGTCACATCCGTTAGTCCTTCCCCAGCCCCAGCCCGAATCCCAACCCAACACACAAATAATGATAATGATGATAATAAAAAAACAGCGGACGAGAAATACATCTTCGCGGACGAACCCGCGCGCTACGCAGCCAGGAAAGTCGCGCCCGGCCCCGCCATCCGCTCGAACGTGGACCGCGAATCCGCCAGCACGAATTTCACGGCCGCGGCTCTGACAGAGCAGGAATAGAGTTGCGCGACGGCGGAGGATGCGAAGATGCGGAGGGAGGCGGGGTTGGAGACGTATCGGTATTTATGGGCTGGTATGTCACTCCCTCTCTTTTCCTCTCTTTCAAACCCACCCACCCACCCACACACACACATATACACGGAGCTATCCTCTGACAACTCACGCCTACACTAACCTTGGGGAATGCTCGTATATGCCTCTGTGGATCTGCTGTCCTTTGACACTGGATGAGCGTGACCTTTAGTTGTACTCAAGTATATGTGCCGATGGAATGTATCGAGCACTGATACACCCCTTGGTATCAACCAGGATACTGTGACGAGGCATTTTCATCGCTCTAAGGTTCCGTCACATTGTCTTTTGTGCAAAGCGACAGATATACCGAGGATGGTTACTGCTCAGGATGCAGACCTCGTCATTCCTATTTAGTGCAGAACATATCATGTTTTTGACTCGTGAGCTGCTCTGCTCAATAACCCATTGGGAAAGACGAGCAGAAATCACAGATATCTCGGAAAGGATGGTGAAGCATCAGCTTCATTCCCGAGTATTCAATTTCCCACCTGCTCTGGTTTGTAAACAGAGAGACTAATTGGCGACACGGAGGAGAGTAGATTCCCGGTTGCCGTTTCGGTTCATGTCTGATCGTCCAGCACCGGGACACTATTGTGCCGGTTCACTGAAGACTGCAACTTTCCTCGGGAGACTGCCCAGATGCAGGTGTTTGAGGTCCAGCAGACAGAGCTTCACTGTCAAAATACCTTCCTCAGGAGATAAATTGATCCCGTCTTCCGTTTTCTAGTCGCGGAACAACCGCTTTTTTCCTGTATAAAACCATCAAAGAATCTATGACGGATGGAAGCGCCGACTCGACCCTGTCCAGCACTTTCAAACGCCGTTGCCATTGGTTCTTCGAATACCGTCTATTCCGGAATTCTTCAAGTTTAGCGCAAAGAGCTCATAGATATGTCGTAGCCGCTAGGGCCTAGGATATAAGTCATACAGCCACAATTGGTGTGGAGGAGGAACCCGTTTCTTCGTCGTTCTCAGGGTCTTCGTGGGCGTTCTCGAAGCGAAAACGAAATCTTCATGGCGAATACACTAAAGTTGGCGCATGCGTCACTAGGCTCATATGCATAGCATCAGAGTCATCAATTTACTCGATGCCTTGCTCGCGTTAAGTGTTCGACACATTTCCCTCAACGCCCAAGTCAGAACAATGCAAGAAGGGCATGTTAGACCTGAAGCATCTGATAGGACTTGAGCTTTGTCAAGAGCTGTCTTTTGACTTTGAGTTAGCTGATCCCTGAGTGTATCGGTAACCTCAGTATGGTGATAGAAGGATCGATACTATTCGCCATCTTGGGCATATTTTAATGCCTGAACAGACTCGTTTTCGGAGTATGCAGCATGCGCCCTCAAGCAACGGAACAGAGAACAGCCCAATGATAAATAATAAGAGCTACAAAGTCAAAATCTTCCATAATAGCGCTTGCCTCTCCAGCGCTATTTCCTGAATTATGGGCCAGAGAATATCCCAAGGCTCCGCCCAGATAGAGCACTTGTCGCATAAGCACAACCGAACCATCGCTTCGACGTACCGCGCCAGAAGAGGTGAAGGAGTCGAAGAACTACCCTCACATCGTTACCAGCATTGTGCCACCGCTCGCAAGCATGGCATCTCGGGAATATAGCCGTCGGAAGAAATTACCCAGCCTGAGAGACACAATCTGTCATGGAATTTTTAACGACGGAAAGGTATGATTAAGGAATCGTGAACCGCCGCTTGTGCTGGATTTTGCTGATGCGGCGGTCAATCATTCTCAAGAAAACACGCTCTGCTTCCTTGTTGCCTATATTGGTGATATATGTACAGCATGCTCCAGTATCGATGTTGGTGTCTCAGAGATGAATTGTAGAGGCTGGCGTAGCTTCTCCCTGTAGAGTTGGGTAAACGTAAGCACGCCGAGGCGTTTCTGGTCGTAGATCACCCTGGCTTCCCGTCACACATGACAGAATGAGTTAAGCTCGATTCAAACACCTAGAGATTTTGGTTCGCCCTGTAGGAACAAGAAGTTTGGGTGCTGTTCCAAATCCAGCCTGTACAAGTATTCTGTTTGCCAGACTTGTGTGACGGAGGTCGGCAATAACCATGCACTGCTTTCAGGGGCCAAGAAGGCAATAGAACCAGCGGATTCACCCTGATCGTGCAGCATTCAAAGAACCGCGGTACTGCATGAGAAGAGCCTTAGAGGAGATTCAAAAGCCGGTAAGATCGTATGCATCCGCGGCGTTCTTATCGTGCAGCTCTGGATTGGTGTACAGAACAGCTTGAACCCCAATGGGAGAGTGCTCCAGAAGTGTAATCAAAGCTGTAGTCTAATGGGAGCGTGCGTTCGAGAATCTTAACGAGTGAAGCCAAAAATGCGGCCCTCGCAAACATAGGCTTCCATTGTCGGTGGCTGCAAGCTGTCACCGCAGATGGTGGGTCGTCGCTACATAGGTTTGATGTTTCGAGACTCAACCACGCCCCCGAGATCACTGGATCTTGAAGCGGTGGAAAGTATATTGAGTCGGTGAGACCGCCACTGAGACTGGCTACGTTATCCAAGGCCCTGAGCAGCTTTTGTGCACGCAACAGAAAGCATTGCCGAGTGATATTGGAAGACCGATTTTCTTCGACAGCCTCCAAGTGGCCACCCAGAGGTGAACTGCTGGCGAAAGTGCCCTCCGCTGGGCCGGTGAGAGTTTGTAGCCGGGTCGGAGGGGTAGGTAAGGGACCGCGTTGGTATTCCACTCCCCGTAACGCTCGGGAAGACTGGCGAGCCGCATGATAACCGGAAACCGAATCTCGTAAAGCTCAGGGTCGTCGCGGTTTCGACCAAGGTAAATTCATAAGGAGGCGCATCATCGACGGTTAGCGGCCACTTAAGGTCCCCCGGCTGAACACGGCCAAACCAAGTAGTGTACTTCCTGAAGAATCCTCGACGAAGGGCGCGGTCGTCGGGTCATGGAATACCAATTGCCAGGGCTCGTTGACTGTAATTCTGAAAATTCTGGCAAGGACGCCAGGGTGCTTGCCGGGTTCCTTAGACGTCTGCCAGTAACCAAAATGCTCGAGGCCGTCCCAGGCGCAGGGAGCACCACGGCTATCCCCGTCAGACGCCTATCCGATTGCGTTAAGATGTGTGGACAGCGGCGGTATCTGAACGGGGGGCGGAGCTTTCTATCTCCTGTTCTTCTTCCCTTCGCTAAGGTCGCTTGCAATATACTTCGCAACCAATCCGAGATTATCACAAACAACCTCTCCCACAGTTCTTTCTTGTTCTATTCATCCTGGATGCCTCCTGCCGCTCGAAGTCAAGCATCTCGAACAGAATACGCCTGAATTTCTTCCGTGTTATTGGATCTCCTCCTGGCAAAGACGCCTCGTATTTCTCCTGTGTCATGACTGACAGCATGATTAATCAAGAGATATCATGTTGCGGGATCGCTGTTCTTCGTTGACTTGATGCACACAGGCTCCATCTCAAAGATAAATCGAATGTAGGCGTGGTGAAGAACTGGAGCCGAATATTTCATAGTGGAGATACATTTCTGCCCGAAATAGATCCCAATATGGCAGAATATTCTTCAGCTGAGAGCGACATACTCCTACTCAGGTATGAATTCCTTATGCAGGTTTATTGTATCTGGACAGTAATGCCAGGCAGCTTGATATATGCCCGAGAAGCCGATCCCAATTAGCACGCGTGCTACTTAGACCACAATGGGAACAGTGAGCAAGGTACCTTATACTGATTGATGAGACTTCGAAGTTGCTCTTAGGCTCTGTTACCTAGATCCGGGTGCAATTCCCTGTATAGACAAGGAATATTCTGGAGTATCTCCTAAGTCTCGTTGCTGTTCGGCAGCTTATCCTTGTAATCCCGACATATAGCTTTCTGCTAAGAAACAGGGCCTTAATCTATGATCTCAAACCCGAGTCGAAGGAATTGGTCATGTCCAAGCTGGTTGTACCGAATAATGCCCCACACGACAATGGCGCCCTTGAGGAGCACGTACCCGAAGGCGCACAGAGCATCGGACACTATCCAAGCAATAACCAGGTTAACTCAGCCTTCTAGTCAAATATAGCGTATACAGCCTCCAGCCCATGTCGGAGGATATACACCCTACAACCACTTTGTTTTATGCTCACATACCTGTTCAATGAAGTGGTCGACATTAATATCGGAGTCGAGGGCAATGAGGAGCCGGGGAAACTGACGCTGCCATCTGGCCCATCCCATGCTCAGGAATTCATGGTCCAGTACTTTACGGCCAAGGGCCTGCAAGGAGTCCACAAGGTTCTGCTTGGGTTCCACCAGCACTACCTTGTGGCAGTGGTCCGAAGACTCAGGCTCACCGACGCCATGCCTTAGGAGGTGACAAGCACCTTGGCGCCATAGTCCGCGCTGGTAATTTCGACGGCTGCGTCGGTCCGCTCCTCAAAGGACATGTGGGAACCACAGCTGGCAGCCGGGGACGCCGAGTCTTCAGGAAAACCACCAAGACCCACTGCACGATCGTCCGGTAGCAGAAGAATGTCACTCGAGGCGGGCTCTTGCGTAGGGCGGTGGACTTTTGGGGTGTTCGTCCTGAGGGTCAAGAACTTTGTTGGCGATAGGGCCAGCGGTGAGAAACCATACAACTGGACAATCTATGGGCTTGACTCCCTGGTGCTGGCTTGTACTGATGCTTTTCACAGCGTGGCCTTCGTTGCAATTAACGCGACAGAAAAGCTTGAACGGACTGGTGAAATTCGATCGGCCCCTGCTGCTAGCCACCGGGCTGGCCTTAGGGCTGTTCCTCAGTCGCTGGGTCATTGAAGAATTCGAGCTCCCTGAGGTTTTTGGCAATGTATCGAAAATTCTGAATCGTCGTTGGGCTGGATGCATCTGTTCATGAGGTTGAAAGGTAAGCGCGAACCGTCACATCCTTCCTTGATTGTTGTCCCTCTATAGTTGATTCGCTTTGAGACTACCTTGCCGCGCGGCCTCGAGGTCAACATAGTATCGGGTTTCAGCATTGTCACGCTTTAGGCCTTTACTTTTGTTGGGGCCACTGAGTTTCATGAGCTAGGGTAGGATTCTTATAACTTCAATTTTAGTAATAATTCAATCCAATCAGATCTTCAACGTGACCTTGAAATCGTTAGACGCACCAGAGATCCCTTAGGCAGATTCAGGTGTGAGCATCTGACGGTAATTTCAATGTCATCGTTTGTCTTCACGAGGGGCCATTCGTAGAAGAAGATAATGCGGTCCGGGCGGTTCACGTCAAAATATCCTAGATGCTGGAGCATTATCCCAATGAATTCAAGCTTGGCACGATTGAGATCCAGCCAGAAGGCGTTCTGATCGTGATACCGTGTCTCTAGCCCGGCTCGACTCTCGTGTGTGTTCAAGAAAATAGGTGAACCTATGGTCCCCGTGAGTCAGGCGATCCGGGATAAGAAGAGGACACAGCACAGGTAATCTGTCGGGTGGCAGCCTCAGGATGTTATTGAGGCTGCTCAATGCGACAAGACTCACTGCTGCGTCTCTGGGTAGGACTGTCTCTTGGGCTCAGATGCGTTCTCGATCTCCATCCATTTGAGAGCATCATGATCCTGAGGCTGTCAGCATGTATCCAGAAAGGAGAGAGGATAAAGCTTACTCATGGCTTTGCCGACAAAGGCGACTCAAACCTCAGAGGTGCGACTGACCGCACTTGTACAAGATCATGAGCTGACCACTGATATCACGGTCAATAGAGCTATGATCTGTCTCTCAGACAAAATCATGGTAAAAGTACTCCTGAGGACACCAAAATAGTCACCACTCAGTAACTTGAGCTTGGGTAGCTTGGTGACATAAAAGACGTCTTCTTTTGATGATCTCGTCTCAACACCGTGTACGAAATCTGGAGACTTTGAACTTCTGTGGATAAAAAAGTCAGGCAGAAGCTATGTGCATCTGGGATTGCTGTTGAACAATCTCAAAGTCTCTAACGTAGTTCAAGAAGTACCCGAACTGGAAAGGGCAAATAATAGATGCTGGACGGGAGCTACCTGTCATCGATGGCTTTCTCTGGAGGGACACCCAGTGCAGCAGCTCTCTCAGGCTTACTTTATATCTGACTGGTTTAATTCATAGAGTAGCTGTATTCTGCAAATCCGCCGCATGCGCATGATAACGGCACTTTTCCTGCGTAGCTGGCCAACGGGCATACAGGTATGGACTCTGGTTTTTCTCGATCTCAGTCAACTGCGGCAGATGATTAGGCGGTGGTCCCGTACGGTAGCCATCCAGAGGAGACGCAAATTATAGATGAAATAACAATGAGATACGTAAGAGTTGCCGAAGAGAAAGAACAAGAAGGAGAGGTGAGGGAGAAAGGGCTGTGCAAAGCTCATTTGAGAAGCTCGCAAGATGTGGCGGCTAGTGACAATCACAGCCAGGATAGTAAGTGATCTGTGCAGAGCTTACTTATTTTTCAGAAGCTTATTGGTGTGTCCTTTGCTGTTCTGAGTCCGCTCTCAATCGGCGGCACACGCTTGTACTAACTTCAGTCCGTAATGGATGCCTGAGATTCGCGTCAGTCGCGGTCGCTGACCATACAACGGGATCTCGAACCCTCCATGAAGCGCTGATGCTTGTATTTAGCGTTCAAGAAAGGCTAGACTGAACGATGTTTGGATTTTCTGGGAGCTGAAGACAAGTTAGTTGGATGATCTCCCAAGTAGGGATTTGAAACACGAACCCACTCATCCTATGCTCTGCGTTACCCACTGCCCATCTTCTATGTCACTCGCAACGAGCGCCACGAGCTTGTGAGGTTTGAGAGAGATGTTCCATGATGCAGGACTTTGATGAAGGAGACGGACGACTGCCTGTGGTTTCCTGGTCCCAGCAGGGTCATGTTTACCCCGAATGTCGTGCTGACAACACATCACTCGTGTCCCGAAGGTGAAAGTCATGCCAACCGAGAAGGGTTTGAACGTACAACCGGAACGAGGATTTTTAGCGTTATCAGCATGATGAGGATAATGATCATCTGCGATCAGGGAGGGGAATTAGAAAGCAAGAAGACAAAAGTCCTTGGATAGTGGCATAGAACAGATAGGGGACAGGGTGGCTGCTCTTGATTCCACTTACTTCGTGTCTCTCGCTCCAGGTCTCCCATGCAACATTGGGATGGACGGAGAGATGGGTAAATGCTGTGCAGGATTCTAGCGGAGTGCGTCTGGTGTTCGGCATGCTTATTCGATCAAAGGTCGTCCTAAACGCATGCATCAGCCTCCGCCATGCCCGGAAAATCGACACTGAGGGTGTGCCTGACCAGTTTCGAATCACCTCTTACCGTGGCGAGGGTAGTCTGTACTGCAGTGCAGTGTGGCAGAGATGTCTTGTGAGCATGACCATATGGATCTTGCTCTATCCTCGTGACGTGCTTGCCACCAGGAGTATAGGCTTCGATGAGATGAGTCCTGCCTCACAGGGGAGAAGAGAAGATGCTAGTGATCCCATGTCTCTCCAGCCGTTGGGAGTATGAAGAGTGAGAAAGACCAAACCGTTTTCAGTCCCATCCTGGAAAAGAAGTCTCTGTTAGTTGAGATCCTGGTTACATCAAAGATGAGGAAGAGTGGCTCACGAGACAAACGCTGTCATGTATGGCAGTTGCGTGTTCAAAATGGGGCCGAGACTAGGCCACTGCGTTCGCGATGGCTGACAGGTTGGATCGATGAGACAACCTCGTATTACGGTATGGAAAAGCCTTCACCAAATAGATAAGACGCCCACGAGCAGGTCATCTGGATGATAGTTGCGATGATGATGGATGGGGCAATGGTGTGGGAGGAAGCGAAGAGAGGAAGCCAAGAGAGGGGAGGGGCTGCAGGGTAAAAAGAAGGAGGACGGAGGAAGAGGGAGAAAGAAAGAAAAAAGGAAGAGAGACAGAACGGGAGAAGGGAACTTTTTTATAACAGCGACCAGTTCCCTTGGCCATGGCCGCTGAAGTCGTTAAGTCCAATGAAGGCTCGCGGGGTCGTGCAATGATAAATTGCTTGCTGGGTTGCACAATGATGTCGTCGCTGGGTGGTCGTTAATGAGCCGCCGGTCGAATAGTGAGCTACTATGGAGATGAATATATAGTGCTGCATGTCAGGTAAATTGTGCTTCCTCCAGTGCTCCAATAGCAGAGAGTCCTCACGATATATGCACGGAACATGTGATGCCGAGAAGCACCTGGCTTGTTGATTAGGACGCAAGATTGTAGAACTTGGTGTTGATGGGAATTATCTCACCCATCCTAATTACCTTCCAGTGTTTGTCCAGTTTGTCTTTCTTTGCACCATGCTGAATACAAGACAGTATACCACCACACATAACTACTCAGTATACCACTTCACTCCATACATGGTCTGGAATTTAGCATGTGATCTCCGTCGGAAAAGATCAGTTGCAACAGCCAATTACGTCAGGCGCAAGGATAGGCAGGGGATTGGAGCATTGTGGACGTTTGGAGCACGAGTGGGAGCGCAGTGGGGCTTTGCTGAAACGGTCTTCCGACCGAGTCTGCAGTGTTTGAACTTTGATGCTGCTGCTGTTCGAGATCTATTAATAGACAATTAACCGATACTATCACTCTATCCCGAGCGGATGGGCTGTAATTTGGTTGAGAAAGAGATCGAGAGTTAGAGATAATCAAGCCGACAGTTAATGGAGAACAGACCGACAACGGCCGAAATGGGGAGGAAGAGCGAAGGGGAGACAATCAGAGACAATCAATAATGAATCAATAGGGATGGAGATTAATCTGCGTCATCCCTGTTCGTGCAGCACCGGTTCCTGACTAGCGCCCCCACCCACCAGTGGAGAAGAAACAGAAAAAAATAAATAATATCAGGTGAGCCGAGCGGATTCTTACCTTCTTCATCAGTCCATCTGAGTCAGGCATTATCATCAGGGTCCCTTGGGTAGATACTGTAGCACTTATCTTGTGTATGGTGCACCGCAATGGCTTCAATTTTGGGTCCATGCGATCGTCAGGCGCGCCATGTTGCGTCGGGCGCAATCAGGAACCACCCATGACCTCCAACACCTGGATGACAGACAGACATCTTGGGGGCCACCCTGTAAGCTGGTTGTAGAGGGTAGAACTCATGTAGCCATTGTTATTCTTATGCACCTTCCAACAAAACTCTGGAAGGGTGTAGGAGGATGTAGGAGGGTGTCCTTGCAGTAATCATGCAGGAACTCTTTCCTTCCCCTCCTTTATCCCAACCTCCTCCAACCACGATCGTCAATCAATCAACAACAAACAATTCTTCATCTCGTCAGGCACACACACACACACACACGACATCATTGATTATGGGCTAGTTTCTACGGAGTAGTCCTTCCTTCCTTCTTTCCTTTCGGCCCTCCTTTCCTCGTGTTCTTCTCCTTTCCTCCTTGGGTTACTCTCTCCGACCAGTGCTCACTCCCTCGTTCGCATCTTCCAACGGTCGCTCTCCCACTCGCTCTCTCCACGCGAACCCTTCGACCAGAACGTGCTGCGCACTCGTGCTGAAGATCTCTACAATTCTAACTCATTGAGATATCACATTCATTCTATTGTCCGACCGGGATCTCGAAATCCGAACTCTCTTTCTCCAGCTCCACTGTGAGTTGCTCTACAGGCGGACTAGTATCTATTGGTCTAAGCAGCCCGCCGGCGTTTCATCCTCCACTGTTCGCCCAGACACTCTCCGGTTTCCCCTTCCCTCCCTCTCCTGATCTTGGCTATTGCTCCTCTTCTCCCCTCCGTCCTTCGTTGCTGCTGCTCCTGCTGCTTTCTCGTCCTCTCTCTGTCTGCTGCTTCGCGTTCTGACCTTTTCCCTCTCTTTCCCTTCGCCGCTGCGTCGCAATCTTTCCCCCCGACCCCGTCGCTTTCGTTCCTTTCACCTTCTGCTGCCGATTTGACATCGTGCACCACGGCTATCCATTTCGCCCCTGAAAATCGACCTCGCCCCTCTTCCAATTGACACTCGCGCTGCTAGGTCGCCATTCGTTTGTGCACTCCGCTTCCTCGCCAGACCCCAACTTTCCCCGATCCCGTGTGCGAGCGCTCTGCCTTCTCTCAGCAAACGTCATTCATTCAGCTTGGACGTAGAATAGCTGTCGCTGCCCGTTTGCGCCTCGTTCCCCTTGCTCACTTCGTCCGAGACGATCGTCTGCGACTACGTCGACCATGCGATAGTGCTGGAAGCTCTTCCTCTCCAAACAATCTCCGTCTTCGTCCCTGCGCCAGCGTGCTGACCTAGGACGGCTGGTCATTCCCTCTTCACCTTCTTCGGCTGGTATAATCGAAGAACCCACTTTCTCTTCTCGCCTTTCCCTCGTTTGCTCGATATGCTGGCTCCGAAGCCCCCTGTGGACTTGGAGGGCCATTGCTCCGTCGTTTACGATAACACTCTTTACGCCTATTCCGCCAATGGATTTGTGTCGATCCCCCTCGAACGCAATGCGACGTGGACCAACCTGACCATGGGAGAGCCGGTCTCCAATGCGGCATGTGTGATGGGTGGTATCGATGGAAATGAAGACAGGCATGCGCTCTACGTCGTGGGCGGCTCCGGCTCCCAATCGAACCTCTCCGGCTTACAACGCTACTCCTTTCAAGACAAGAACTGGACCTCCATTCCTCAAGAGAACCTGGCCCATCGGACTCGACACCAGGCAGTCTACCTTTCCAACTCATCCAGTATCCTGGTCTACGGCGGTCACACCTCGGAACAATCAGTCGCCTCTTCAGACACCTTCGTCGCATACGCTACCTCCCCTTATACTTTAGACGCTTTCTCGGCATCGGATGCCTCTCCGGCTTACGTTCCTGTCTTGCTGCCCTGGGGCGATAGCGAAGCCGCCTTGGTGGGCGGCACCACAACCCCGAAGGGAGTTCACCTATTTGACTTGGCCCGTGGCTGGTACGATTCCAATATAACCCTGGCCGATTCACTCTCCAGCGATGTACAAGCGGCATTGCTCGAAGGAACAGATGGTACCAAGATCCTGGAGGCTTTCGACATGGGGGTCTCGCCCAACACCGTCTCTAGCGTAGAGTTAGTCAAGCCAGGGGGTACGCCTGCCAACCCTGCGGCCACCTTGGGGGTCAAGTCTTCGTCCACCAAGCAAAGGAGAGAAGTCAGTATGAGCGATTACCCAACTTATTCGAGCACATTGGCCTCTTCCACGACGAGGCAGAATTATTCACTAGCGCAGGGCGAAGATGGCCTGGTTGTCATTTCCGGTGGAAGCGGCACCGACTCGTTAGCCATCTTTAACCAAACCGCCAACAGCTGGGTCAACACCACAAAACTGTTCTATGGGGAGAAGTCAGAGCAACAAATCCTCGGGTCAACAACGCACACGTCATCCAATACTGCATCGACCAGCAGCTCTTCCGCCAGCTCGACTACCAGCACGTCATCCACCGCTGCTGCCAGTGGAGGCTCCTCGAGCAGCGACATTGGGACCATTGTGGGTGCCACCTTGGGTGCAATTTTGGGCGTAGGAGTTATCCTGATTCTCATCCTGCTCTGGATTAAACGCAAGAAGCAAAGCATCAAACAAGCTCAGGGCGACGATAAAGATCGACTGAGCTTCCAAGATCGCGGTGTGGAGCCTCTGGCCCAATCGGCTTACCCCATGGCAAGGAGCTCCGCTCCCTTGGCCGCTGCCTCCGTCGACTCGTTGGCCATTTTCTCGGGCTCGATGAGCGACGAGAAGACGCCCCGATCAGCTGGAGCTCTTCCACCTTATGCGCAAAACACTAGTCCATTGAAGCCGAGCCCGCTGGTGACTGTGCAGTCCCCCGATGCCTCCCCTAGGACATACTCTCCGAGTGCGTACTCGAGCGCTGCCCTCGACAAAGAACTGTCCGTTAGAGAACTTAATCCCGGAGGCAACCCAGGCGATCGGCTGACCAACGAGGGATGGAGTCGGTACTTCCAAGACAACAGTGCGACCGACCTGGCCGGAAACCAGCCACAAGCTCTCCAGCCCCCTGCGCCGGGGCTGAGGAGTACCCGGACGGATTCCAGCAGCACCGCGTGGCCGATCAAGCTGGCGCCTCTCAACTTCGGATTCTTGGACGAACCTAAGCCCCTGGGTGGCCAAGTGATCAGCGGCAGTCCCACCACTGAACACGCATCATCGATCATCTCCTCGGAAGGTCGGCAGATGATCATCCCAGAGAGCCAGTGCGCCCGCATCTCGACCGCATCTTCCATCGGTGACGACCTGGAGAATGATCCGCACTGGCAGTCACGCAGTTGGACGGGCCGACCTCCCAGCAGCACGTACAGTCGCAGCTACTACAACCCCAGCACGCGCGCGCCTTCCATGGCTCCGTCCATAGCGATGCCCTCCGACGGCGATTCTCGTCTCGACCCATCTAGCGCCTACAACAACCATCGCGGCTCCAGCATCCTCATCTCAGACAGCCTCGAACCGATGCCAGAACACGAGGAACACGGTCACGGGCCTGGTCAGAAGGCCAATGTCAATTCAGATATGAGCTGGTTGAATCTTCAAGGCGACAAATGATTGAACCGCCCCCACCTTCCTTCCTCTTGCTCAGTCATCCCCACACATTCTCTGTCTTCAACCTCCTCCACCATCACAACCATCTACTTTACATTTACATCACCGGTCTCTCCAGACCACCATGTAAAAAAAGCCTTCTCTCCCCATGACCGCACCCATCTACCCGCGATAGATGGTCTGTACAGCTAGCTGCGCTCGTCCCTCTTTCTTCCATCGATTTCTTTCCCCATCTTCTTGTTTCTGCGCTTGTCGTCGTCTACTACAGCTCTATACTTACTATATGTCTAATCTAATAATTAGACTCATCCAGCGCTTACCTCTTTGAATCTACGATACCTATATATATATATCTCTATCTCTCTCTATCTATCTGACTATATCCATATCTATATCTCCATCCCTCTATCTATATGCCTGCTTTCCATACTCGAATCAGCAATAGCTTCTGATTCCCAGTGTCTGTGTTGTGCTTGTTATCTGCCGATACATCGTAGCATCATTATACCATACCGGTGTCGCTGTCTATCTTTGTTTCTGTCTTGTGTATGTATGTGTAAGTGTCACATATCGTTTCTCTCTGCGTTGCTATTGCAAATGGGGATGGGATCGACCGTCAGGATCTATCCCTCCCCCCGTCTTTGTTTGATAGAAGCATGTTCGTTGCATGCGCTGCATCTCCGTGTGTGGGTGCGATGGTACCGGGAATGGAATAATGCCTTCACTTCATTCTTCGATGGGGTCCCAGTATCTGTCTGTTTGTATGTACGGAAGCTACGATCTAAACTGGTAGTGTAGTAGACGCGAGGCGAGTCGATGTTGATCTGAATACATTTTAAATAAACTGAATGGAACCCTACCAACTGGTACGACGCAAGTCAAGTCAATTTGATAATATGCCTCGACGCAAGAGTTACAGAAAGAGTATCCGAATCATGATCATCAAAAAAGCCAGTCCCCAAAGTAACGAAGTCACCACGTAACGCAGAAGCACGGACGCATGCCAAACCCCAAGGCGAGGATCGGGTAGAAGGTACAGGGAGGTTCAATCACGGGCAACGAGACAGAAACAATCATCAATCATAGCTCATCATTATCATCATCTTCATCATACACACATATCATAGCACATGCACTTCATCCTCCAACGGGGTTGACAGATTGCCGGACTTGGAGCTTCCCCGATCAAGCATACTGGGCCGTCGGCACCCGCGATGACCGGGCCGCCGACCGGGATCGGAGGCTCGGGGACGAGCCATATTCGGACGGATGGTGTTCCTCGATCTCATCGGGATACATGGTGCGCGGGTGATGACTGGCCTGGCTCTGCGCGCGTTGGTGGCGACGCGCTCGTCTCTGTTCGCACTCCGAGCGGTATTTGGTTCGCTCCTTGTGCAGTTCCTCCGCGTGTTTCCATTCATCGACGGCTCCTTTGATACCTATGACGGCAAGGCCCACGCTGGCGACATCCCCGACCTGGCCCTTGAGGCGCCGGCGGCGGGCTTCCTCGGCGGTGATCTCGCCCTCGCGGACCATCTTGGCTCGCTTCTTGTGCTTCTCCATGCTTTCATGGATCTCATGCGCGGCGTGGACGGTGGCCACGGTGGCCAGCCCGGCTTTGACCAGCGTCTTGCGCGTTAGTTTCTTTTGGCGTTTTTCCTCATCGGTACTGCTTCCCAAGTCAGAGTCATGATCCTCGGCGCTGGCAGAACGGTGTTCATCCGGGGCACGGGTACGGCTGTAGCCAGCTTCTTCGGCCTGCATTGGTCGACTCACATCTCTAGAATGCCGGGTGCGCCGCGGGCTTCGGGGGCGGCGATAATCATAGTCGCTGTAGTCATCCGGGTAGTCATCGCGCCGGGATGGCCGACGGCCATCGCGGTCGCGGCTGTCGCGGCTGTCACGGCTGTCACGGCCGTCTTTTTCGCTCAGACCGAGTGCCTCCATCCCCTTGTGAAGATAGTCCGAGACGCTCTTACTGCGCCGTCTCGGACGACGATCATCATAACTGTCCACGGAGGAGGATCGACCCCGACTGCGGTCCCGCGGACGAGACCTGGACCGGAACCGATCGTACGCTTCTTTGCCGATCGCAGCCAGGGCGCCTGTGGCAGCCAGGTTCTTCACACCACTATTGCTCTGCGAGCGGTGGTGGTGACGACCGCGAGAGCGAGAGCGGGAACGCGAACCGTTAAGGAAATGGTTTGCTGCCAGACCGGCCAGGGTGGATTCGACGACATGGCGTTTGGAGTGCTTCTTAGGATCCCGGTCCACCAGTCCATCCGTGCCTCCAGCCGCAATGGCTGCCGTTAGGATTCGTTTACCCTTCTCGCCGGTCCACTCGCCCGGATCCTTGCGGACGCGGAAGGCCTCGATTGCTCCGGCGGTCAGAGCGGCCCGCATGGCCTGCGCTATGCGCTGCTCACTCTTCTCTCGCCGGTGGCGGCTCCGCGATCGAGTGGGCGACGGCGAGTAGGAGTACGACTTGCGATCGCGGTCCTGGGAGCGGCCGCGCTCCCGATGCCTCGAGCCGGACGAGGCGAGGGATCCCAGTCCAAGCGCCCCCAGCGCCTGCTCGGAGATGGACTTGCGTCGGCGCGGTGGGGGAGAGCGGCTCTCGGACGGGGACCGGGAGTATCTTCCCCGGTCATCTAGGCAAGGTCAGCATGCATTGTCGATTAGATCCTGGGGTCTATCCTCCAAACTGCCTGGTATACGTACGTCGATCGTCGTGGCGTCGAGAGCGGCGATGAGAGGGGCGGTAGTAGTCGGAGCCATCATTGTAGTAGGGATCTCGGTTATTCATGGAGTGGGAACGGCGCACACTTTCGTGGACGGTGGCGGCGCGGGCGGGTTTTCCCTGCGGGGGAATGCCATAACCGTATTCGTAGCCATAATCGGCGGGGGGGTAGTCGCGGTGGACGGCCTCGAAGGACTCGACGCTGCCATCACGGTGATGACGCACGACATCAGTCTGATGGCGAGATGGAGGGTAATAGTAGTCGGAATTGTAACCGGCGGAAGGGCGAGAATATTGACGCCCGTCGTAGTAAGACATGGCCACGGACTGCGAAGCGGGGTTGTAGTAGTGGGTCGAGAAAGAGAGAGAGAGAGAGAGAGAGAGAGAGAGTGTGTGTGTGTGTTAAGAATGGTTCAGGCCATTCATCAATTGGCGGGATAATGATCAGGTTGTAAAAGACGATTGAAAAAGAGAGAGGGAGTGATGGAAATGAAGAGGAAGAGAGAAGTGATGAACGAAAGATAAAAGATGAAAGAGAGAGAGAGAGAGAGAGAGAGAGGAGGAGAAGGGGACGACCATTCAGGCCAATTCAGGCCAGGTTCAGGCGGTTCAGGCACAACTTCATTGGATCTTCCCCAATCTGGCAGTGGCGGTGGAGTGACGTCGTTTCAGCCCGGCCAAACCAGTACTCCAAAGGGACTTGTTGGGGGGGCTGGAACCATCACTGCTCCGTCAGGTACTATCCAGGTACCATCCCAGTGTCTAGGCTGTCTTTATTAGGATCTATCATTTTGATGATCAATGAGAAAGTCCATCATTGTTTCTGCCCATCTCGGCCGGGATCAGTCAGTCAGTCAGTCAGTCAGTCAGTCAGTCAACCAGTCAGTCGGGCAACAGAAGATGAACAAGAGGAGGCCATCCATCCACTATTGTGAAACGAAACCCCCTCTCCTGCTCGGCTATTGGTGAGGCGAGACGAGAGAGCATTCAGTCCAATCCTTCCATTCCCCCAATGATGAAAGCCGTGTCACCATCCCAGCTGTCTTGTCCGTCTGGTCCTCCTCTTGACAAGCCCTGAACTGACATCATCCTCAATCTGCGTCAGTCAATGAATACCCGAGCTCGCACCATCATCCTGGTCGATGAGGTAGGTGGACTAATTAGCATTTACTCAGTGGTAGTTTATAGTAGTTTATGATAAGTAAATAGAAGGAAGTGGTCCCTTCCCGGTTGCAGTTCCAGACTTTCTCTCCCTCCGCTTTTCTCTCCCCGGCCTTTCCGTCCCCGCCCGTTCCATGGTTCACTTTTTAAACCTGAAGATACTGAGCTGATTACTGTGGTCTTTGGGAAGAAAAAAAAATATGATAATTCTATCTTCAATGGATATCATCTCATTCAATTTCCTTCCGACAAGGTCATGCAGTAGTGACCGTCAATTCTCATAACTTCTTCCCCAACATATAGAGCTTATTGTACAAATACATTCACTTCCCCCTTCTTTTTTAACCCAGGCAAAAACTCCACAAAACAAAATGAGGTATTCATGGCAAACAGGAGAACTGAATCAAACACGCTGGAGAACACCATGCAAATGAATCACAGGCCGCAGATGCAATATGGGTAGTCACAATGACAGAACATGAACATAAAATAGAAAATGCGATCACAGAAGGAAGAAAAAAAAGAAACCTCTATCCCAAGATAGATCCGTCCATCGCGAACGAGGAACGAAGAATGAAAACACACTCCTGACTCCTCGAGAGAACCGCACAGCAGTCGCCCTCTGCGTCGGGTCAAGAGCGCCTCAACCACACAAAGCCATCGCTCTGACGGCCATGGCTCGCCAGCCATAGGATGGCCCGAAACAAGAAAGAAGGAGGGAGAAGAGTAGGTAAGGAATAAGAAAGCTGGATTCTCATCGTCGGCATCAGCATCAGCATCAGCATCCGCATCATACTCGTGATGGCATGGCCTCGTAGGCGGATTTCTCCCGCTGGGCTTGGATGGTCGAGCGTTGATGGTAGTCATAGGTGGAGGCGTTGCTTCGCCGCGTCGACCAGCTGCTGCTCCCGTCGCTGTCCCGGTCGGTCGCCATCCCCGTCGGCACCTCCTCCGAGTGTGTCCGGTGAGTCCGGATATGTTGCTTCATGTTGTCTTTCCGGGTGAATGCCTTGTTGCAGATGGGACAGTGCACGCTCTTCTCCCCCGTGTGCTTCTTGCCGTGCCGGGCGGCATGGCCCGAGGTCGTGAACGTCGCCGTGCAGCCGTGACTGGCAGCAAAGGGACAAGGATACTTGTTCTTCCGGACCCCCGATTTCGCGGCCATGCTTTCCTTGGACGTACTGCCGATCGAGGGCTGCGGGGATGGGGGCTCGACCACCGAGCTCCCACTGATCTGCTTCTCCGACAGAGCCCGGTAGGCGTGGGGATCTTGTCGACTCAGGTGATAGTGCGATCGGACGCTGGCACCACTGCTCATGTAGTCGTAAGAACAGTCGGAGGAGCCGGGGGACGTGGGCTGCGTAGGTTCAGATACCGGGTCGAACGGATGACGGGCCAGAGCGGGTGATGCGGATGGCGAGTTCGTGTAGGTGTGGTGGTGGTAGCGGAAGTCAGGGGTCAAGGTCGGAGTCGTCGTCGTCGATTGCGGTTCGTAGTGGTAAGATGAGTAGGATGAGGCCGAGTGTTGTCGAGAAATGCCAGGTGCGGACCGCACAGTGAACGCTGGGTTGTCGTCATTGTTCAAGATCGACACAAAGCTTGCCTTGCAACTAGCCATTTCTTCCACAATGATCAATCGATCTGTTCGAGTCATGGTCAGTTCGGGAATTCTGAGTGCGCAAATCTCGTGTTGTCTTATCTATGCTTCGGGTTCCGGCTGCCTTCTGCCATGTATACCGGCGAATTGAGCAACAGAAAACACTCCGCAAGGAACAAGAGTCACAAAAGCGGGTTTCATACGAAGAGGAAAATCAGGAGATCGAGGAATCCAAAGTACGCACCAGTTCGTGAGGGAAATGTTTGCCTGGTCGAAAACTGCTCGTGTAACAAGCCCCTCGAGGTGGAGGAAAGACCCCTGGAGAGCGCTAGGATGGGAGATGCAATGCACCAGTCAGCTCGTTGCTGGTCGTCCGCTTTTTGTCGGCTAGGAGAAATTTCCAGCAAGCGATGACTGATTCCCCACGGATGCGACTGAGACAACTAAACAATCACCCGATGTCGATCACTTCGAGGGCTGTCGATGCGCGGGTCCACTGCTCTGTTTGAGTAGGGCAAATAAAACAGTAATTGCAATCTAGCCCAGTCGGTGTTGCAGGGCTCGGAGATAATCCCAGGAAACACTCAAAACACTCAAAATGACGCTAGACACACAAACACACACACGCTGGTCGGTGGTAAGTGATATATGGCCGTGATTGCTGTAGATGCGGGAGACGATAGAGCGGCTGTATGGGGATTGGCCGAAAGTGGGAAAGTGGACAGAAGTAAATGATAGACGAGGCCTGAGGTCTGCACAAGAGAGGGGAGTATAGGAAGAAAGGTAGTATGGTAAGTCGGAGTTAGAATAGTCGATGGTGTTTAATGTAGATTAGGGAAAGGATGTCGAATAAGATGGGCAGACTGAGAATAATAAAAGCAGGCGAGAGAGAGTGTGTGTGGGAGACAGAGAGAGAGAGAGAGAGAGAGAGAGAAGGGGGGAAGTGGAGGGTGGGAAAAGAGGTGACGAACGGTCGAACCAGCGGCGTCGTCTTCGACTCAGTAAAAGAAGCATCTTGAAACCCGTCCAGGGTCTCTCCAGAAGCTCTGGCCATGTCCAAAATCCGTCAGTTGAGTTGGATCACTAGTGGACTAGTTCACAGTGGGTGTTGTGGAAATGGAATAATGGATAATGGATAATGGATAATGTCCACGACGCTAGTTTTGTCGGGGTGGAGTACAGAATAGGCATCATCATTTATGGGTATTGGGTAACCGGTATGGAAATAAATAAATCAGTAATAGTCAAGCAGAAATTAAAAATAAAAATAAAAATAAAAGGAAAAGGAAAAGAAATCATTCCGTCTGGACTCGGGCTTCGGTTCGTTGGAGAGAGCCAGAGAACGGATGGGCAAAAAGACCCTAACTGGAGAACAGCCACAGGGTCTTATGCCAATCGAGGGCGGCCGCTTCAGGAGCCGACCAGATTAGATGGGGGTTTAATTTCCCAGTGGTCTCTTTTCCTGGCCATCCAAGAGACAAACTCTGGTCAATTGTCTCTGACAAGACTACCTAGTACTACTGCTGTTGCTACCACTGCTTCTAATAATAATAATAATAATAATATAAGGACTAAAGATACGCAACAGGTCCCAGTCCGGCTGCAAGTTCCCATTCTTCTCTCCCCTCTCCGATAGAGCCGAAGGGCATCCAATCCATTAGTTGCATTGCGGCACTAGTTCTATCCGCACCGCCCTCAACTTAGTCAGGTTTTCCCTCCTGACTCCTTCCACACCCCCTCCCCGGCTTCTTGAAAGGAACAGCCACGCGGTTGAGCCCAGTCCAAGTGGGTGGCTCGGGTCCTGTCATCGTACTGCGCAGAATAAACGGGGTGGTTGTTTTTGCATTGCTGATTTGGGAATGCTGGAACGAGCTTAGCTCCGAGGAGACCTCGTCATTCAGAGAGGAATCCGTCAGCTAAAAAAGGGCCGATGGCCCCTTTCAGGGCCTACTAGCCCCTCTTCTTCCCACCGGGCTTCGATCTAAACTACCTAGATCCCTGGCTGGTACGTGTCCCTGTCGTCAGCTGAATGGGCGGAGGAGAGAGAAGCAGTGGGAAGTGCATGCTCACTGTAATCATCAGCAATCGTCTCATCACAAATCGATCGATGCATCATACTAGGAGGCTATCACCGACTGCCAGTTCAAGATACGCAGTCAAAGATACGATCTACCGCTCCGGCATTGTGGGTGGAACTCAATTGCTGAGCCAAACCGGACAATCAGTCAGTCAGTTATCGGCACTTTAACTCACGATAACCATCCAGATGCAAGCATAAACTTTCCAGGGTTTCCGGGTAATGACTGGTAATGGAATTACGGTAAATCGGTATCGTCTCCCAGTGGCAACCAACTGCACACACCTGCTTGTCAACAAGACCAATCCCGATGATTAAGCAAGCAAAGTAGTTGGTCAATCCGTCCCCGAGAACAAAAGCCGATCTGTCCTGTTTCTTTCTTGTTGCCCAGCCCTTGTCGCCCTCCACAGGCTATCCTCTCCCTTATAAAATAGACATAGAGTGTGTACAACAATGTAAATACCTATTCAGAAATGACACAGCGCCCAGCTCATGTTTCCAGCCGCGAGAGCAAATGCCGTAGATCGTTGCCTGTCAAGGTCAAGTGTCAGTCAACTTCTCCTCCCCTCCTCCCCCCTGGTCGCATCCCCAGAAGGAGGCTTACGGACAAGCTTTTAGCCACGCTGTACTGGAATCTGATGGGACAACGCGGTGGGTTTACACCGGGCATTTGGCGCTAGTCACGATACTTAGTGTCATGTCCACCGCGTTGATTGGTGACAATGGGGCGGATCAATTTGCATCAAACCCTCGAAATTGTCTTTCCCCTTAAACAAGCAGAATAAAGGAAAAAAGAAAAAGGAAGCCGCTCGCGATAAGTCGTGGGTAACTTTTTTTTTTCTCTCCGAACGCACACTGCGTCAGAGGCCAACAACGATCTGAGCTGGTTTTCGACAACCGCCCGGATCGTCTCAAACGTCCCATTCAGGTACTCTTGTCCGATCCCCGATCGGAGGTCGGGGGTTAAAAAGAACTCCAGGCTGGTGCTAGATGAAACTCTCTCGGACGAGTGAACTGTATGAGGGTTGTTCGAACTTCGAACTCAGTAAACTGTCCGCATCGCGTGTGGAGAGATGCTATTCTCTCTGGTTCACGAAGGAAGCCCACTGGACTAGTCTAACTGTTACGCGCATCCAGAGATCCTGTGGACGACCATAGCCCCATCTAATTTGATCTTGTTCTTCTTTTCATGCTCCAAAGAATTATCCCGACGTTCTGGAAAGGCGCCCCACTCAGACCGGAAATAGCTTCGATTTCAATAGCGGCGAGGCACAGTTCAGTCGGAGTTTTTCTGTCTGCCAATAGCAGCCTTTTCAGAGGCCAGATTTCGATTAGTGGTAGTTATTTTGTGCGCATTGGTGACTGCACAGAGACAGCGGACTCCATCCTTGACTCCTCCAAAGCTCTGCCGGGGAAGGATACTATCTAGATACCAGAAAAACGACCGCTGAATCGCATGCATACATCTCTCCCCGCGACTGATCTTACTGTTCACTGCAAGCAGTGACTTCATAAGGACAAGTACCGCATGATGCGCAATCGCCTGATCAACCCAGCGAGGGTAGACCCATCCATTGACCTATCATGCACCACCGATCAAGGACAATCCAAATCCTTCCTGGAGGACCCCTCCTCGCCTCTTCCCCTTCTCCATCCACGAATCCACGAATCCACGAATCCATAACGCTAAAATGCTAAACCAAGCTTGGCTTCATGGCTAAACACGAACTTTGTCAATCATGCGAATCCGCCCGTTGACCATGCATACGTGTACTACTGAGTCTACGAGACCCATCGAGCCGGAGCTCCGAGCCTCCGACACCCCCTCTTTGATGCATAGAATAGTGTTCGTCGAGAGATCGTGTGTTTTTCCTGTGTTGACTTTGAGCAATCAGATATAACGCAGAAGAACACTTGCCCAATTGCCCACCGCAACAATCTATCTTAAGATTGTACATACTACCTCCCGTATCTCAATACCCAAGTACCTGAACTCTGGACCCTGAATCCCACACTCCAGCCTAATTCATCACCAAACCACCAAGCCACAACAATGGGCCCCGGATCTCAATCCAAAAGACGCGTCAGAAGACCGGATATAACGTCAAGAAAGAGACTCAGCGCCGTTCCCCGCCGCCGACCCCCTGGGAGTGCATGAAGCGCGGCCCTCATCTAGCGCTTTCCCCGCCCCAAGTTAAATCGTCTAGGGCCCTGAATGATGACCATTGGTCAGAGAGATTGGAGGGGGCCAAGAAATGTTGATGCCTAGGGACAGCCACCTCTAATCTTAAGATTGAGATGTCTCTGCTCGTATAGTTTACATGAAGTTGCGCAATTTTGCGCACGAAGGGCGGAGGGAGTTGACGTAGCTACGGGATAATGAACTCCCGGTGTATAAATCTACTCGTAGGAAATCTAGGTAGCAGTGATTTCGCATGCTTGTTAGAATCGAATCTTTATCCGGGGCATAACTTCGGAGATTCTATCTGGTAATCATGGAAATGGTTGGGATTCCTTGTCCAAAAGCGTGGAGACCGAACAGATTGCATGCAGCTTAGAATGCCCTGCCTGCCAGCAATGGGACCCAGGCTCATAATCTGCAGGGCCGCGCATCCTGACAGCAGCGGCTAGCTAGGCTCCTAGGAGATTAACTGCGATGCCAAGCATCCGGGCATTGAACCAGATGTTGATCAGACATCTCCTCGAGGTGGTTTGACGCCAGAACCGCGTGTTCGGACTAGGAGTATGCCGATGACTAAGTGTTACTTTACACGACCCTTTGCCGAAGACGAGACAGGACGAGACACGGGAAGGGGAAACCTTGTGGAGAGAGCGCTTTGCACCACGAATCTTTTGTCCTCCCGTCATGGGCAGGGGCTTTTCTCGAGATGAGCTGACTACGGAATTGATTACCTTCACAGACAACCACCAGCATGCATATCCAGCAACAATTGAAAGTCAACGGAGGACGGAGGCCAGACCGTTCGACCTCCGTCTATCCCTCCGGCTGAGTTGGTGTGGCTGAGCTAGCTAACGCAGGGTATACGAGTCCCTACAGCACCAAGACTTTTGGCATACACTAAGTGACTAACCGTCTAAGGATCCTCTACATAACGAGTCAACTTTCGGTAGTTAAAAATTGAAAAAAGATTCAGGGTCAGCCCCAGTAACCAGACACTCACATATCCACACCCACCAATCGCTTCGACGCAAACTGCCTCGGCGCTTAGTCATTCAGCCTACTGCCGAGTCCCGAGGACCGGCGACCGGCGATCATGTGGTATTGTCGTCACATCCATACATATACAGGAGTATTACAGACAGACAGACGAACGATCTGCCATGAATCTTGGCAGTGCGGTCCCTGCTTGACTAAGCGGCACATGAAGTAAGCCAGCCGGTAAGGCGAAACAACCAACAAACTCCAGGCTTAGAAAGGAGTTTCCAGAGAACTGGGAGAGAAGTATTACCGGCAGAGGAGTCCAGATCTTCATTCCCAAGATCGTCCTGCAGAAGATGCTCTCGCTCGCTAATCCATCCAACTGCTTCTCCTACTTTACTGTAGGGGTACTCGGTCGGGTTCCAGTGGACCAGGCCTTTAACGCCTCATTAGATCTCCATCCCAAAAACTGGAAGGTCTCACCTTATCCCCGATCTTGCTGGTCCAGTTTTACAGTACAAGTAAGCGAACAACCCGCCAAGAACCCTTTGTGTCAGTTCGCACGAACGTGACGACGACCCTGACCCGACATGTCACTCTCCCCTCCCCTCCACCACGAGGTGAGACAGCCGATGACTCGACAGCAGAACTGTGTGATAGAAAAACCTGAGACCAGACACTATCTCCGCATCTACATATAGCTGCAGTCAAGGTTAAGTAAAGGAAAACCCGTCATCGCCGACCCGTAGACCCCGATCCCGAATGCCGGGTGTGCATAATCTTTTAGCCGGGCGTCAAAAACAAATCGTCCACCGAGAATCACTTCAAAGGGTTCGAAACATCACAAGACAAAATTGACTTTTTCCCACAAAATCCACATCAATAGTCTAACCGTCAGCACCAGAAAGAGGGAAGAAAAGAAAAAAAAATTCTCCCTATCCTTGGCAGTAAACAAAAACAAAGTCCTGAACCTACAATGGCGTGAAAACCCCGAGAGCCCTATGGACCCTTAATCCCCGACCAGTCGAACTAGAGCGAGCCAAGCCCCCTCCTAAAACCCACAGCCTAACGGGCAACCACTCATCGAAAGCCAGAGGGACCAGGGGAATGATAACTAAATAAGTTAGACTAGACTAGCTGAAGGAGGAAATCTCATTTTTCTTGTCCTTTGGTGCCGCCGATACGTGGTTTTCTGCCCTCTTCGTGTCTTGGCTTCGGTCGCTCGGGGGTAGCTTTCCACCTTTTGAAAAATCCGGATTGGAGAGGGTGGTCGTCTAGGGTAGGTGATAGAGATGCAAGTGAGACAGTTGTCTGATTTTGACTACCTAGAGATTGTAAGCGATGTGGTTCGGTTCGGATCCAGGGTTTGTTCAATTGCTTTTGGGGCAAAAGAGAGATTAGAGATCAATCACTGCCCGCTGCTTTTGTTGTCCTTGCCTACAGTTAGTTATCTGGGGCGGGAAACTGTCAATCCCGTATACATCAGCCACAGTCACGGCGAAGGAGGAGTGACGCGTGTGCATTTTCCGTCTCGTCGGATTTGAAGGTTAGTCTGACAAGCCACGAACTGCAGGGTCCATTTTCAGGATACAAAAACAGCCGACACGGGAATGTTTTGGTCAATAATCAATGATGAGAAGCGTGAAGAGAGGGGAAAGGAGGGGGGTAATCACGAGTTTGAGACTATCTTTAGTGATGTATGGACGGGCCTGTCTGTGTGGCTGCAGCAGTAGTCGACAGACAAGACTTCGGATCGACACCTATACTCAGTCTAGAATCTGGGTAGAGTCCAGACGCTACAAAGTCGTCAGGAACACCGGATTGGGAAATGGAGTTTGAACGGTACTGTTCTGGCAGAACTCGACTGTTCGAGTAATGTGGTTGTTCAATTCAATATCATTCAGACTGAGGCCGTTGTTGGTTGTTGTTGGGGTCAGTCAGCCAACACCTGAAGTATTTCAACTCTCCCATTAGCCGGAAGGGGGAAGGAAAAACCAGTAGCATACCGTAAACAGTCACGGACCGGCCCTCCGACTTCTTACGGTCAGTCAGTCAGTCCGTCAGTCCGTCCGACAGAGCCAGGCAGGCAAACAGGCCCTGAGATCTTCAGGGTCCGGAAAGAAAGTTTGGGAACCGTAGCTTGTCGGACTATTACGTAGGCCCACCAACTAGCCTGGGACAGTGGAACGAAGGACTCGGCTCGAAATACGAGTGCGAGCGAGCTGGTGCCTTCAAGCTCGGCTCAGGGTCAACCGTAATGAATACGCTTTGTTTTTCTTTTTCTGGAAAACCTCGGACCACGCATATATTTTCATCCCGCCCCATCCATTGGCCCTGAGGAATTGACTAAGTGGGCACCACAACAACTAGTGCAGCGAAAATGGGCTTCGCTTGGCTTTCTACCTTGAGAACTCCTAGTGTTCTCTGCTAACCATGCACTTTGCAGAAATCAGGTGGAGTGCCCAGAAAATAAAAAAAAAAAGAGAGCTCAAGAGGAGCCTTGATTATGATCCCAGAAAAATCTCTGGTCAAAAATTGAAACATTCTTTTTCTTGCTTTGGGAGAGGTAATATCAAAGTATTGATTGATATACTCCGTACTTGGTTGGGGTAGTAGATTGTATACAGTTGATCATCTCCGACCATGTGGCCTGATATCGTCATCATCAACCTTTTTTCTCTTTCTTCAAGTTCTTATCCTTCCCACCCAGCAACACCCCAATATCCAAGCAAAAACTCACCAACCAGAAAGCCACTAGACCGAACTACTTGTAACTAACCTACCATCAATCCACAATCCCACACAGGGCTGCGTAAGCAGAGACGTCACTCAGTGGGGTCCGAGATTTGACATGCCGCGCGTAGGGACTGAGATTCGTCCTGGCCGAAGCAGAAGATACGCTTGGGGCTTGTCGTTGCCGGAGACTAGCCCCGAAAATGCCTAAGCTGGGGTGGTCAGGGCGAACTTCGTGGCCCTAGTCTAGTGTACTACACCTCCTCTATTGATCTAGACTAGGATTGCTTAGTGAGCCATGGGCTTACCTTTCCAAGGGAGGGGGGAAGGGCCCTGCTGCGAAGGTAAATCGTAGCTTTGTTTTTATCAGACAGGAACCATGGACAGGTATACGTAAGCTACGCCCTGAAAGAGATAGACAATAATAGAAAGAAAAAGCGGGCGAAGTACAGGGTAGGATGTGTACATACACAGCAGAGGTCAAGCATGAGACGAGTGCGGCCCCGAAGACGACGACGACGACGACAATGACAAGAACGGAGCTCATCTCCATTTCAAGGACCATCTTGCGCATGACTCCTGACAGGACACGGCGCCAGATGGTGAGATTTGAATCATATCTAGCGCCAGTTTGCGCAATACTTGCTGATTCGCTCCAGGTGGAAACTCCATCGATCTCCTCCTCCCGGTTGCTCTTATCGCGTTGCCTGCTTCATCACTTGCGAGATTACATGCAGTCTTGTTCGACTACCCTCTGCGGCGTCATGTCAATCAATGAGGACCTGACCACTGGGAGAGTTTACGTAGATGCCTTACGAATGAGTGGGACCTCATTAGTGTGCTGAGACCCGGTTTTTCATCAGGGCTGGCGGGGAAGATGAGAACAAGATATTTGGCGCCGACCACGGAGGAGATAGAGCAGATTTTACGGGGCCCTTAGGGTGAGGGCGCGTTTGTTCGCTCTGGTCGCGTGAGAAACCGGCCAATTCATCATCCACCATTTATCAATATGTTTCTGCCTGCTCGAAAGTTCAGTTTCGGGGGTCAATGAGTACTCCCAATCAATCTGAATGTCGAGGAGATGGGGAATGGGAAGGATGTTGAGGAGGAACACGGCGCCAGGCCATTGAGCTTAGGTGGACTTACCCGCCCAGTGGGTTGAATCACAATCGGGGTGCTATCTCGGACCCGTCCCCTCCTAGTCAAAAGTACATGCAGTCGAAGTAGCCTACGTGTTGCATTGTCACACCTATGCGGTAGATACAGCCCGTTGGGGCGAAACAAAGGCGACATAAGCTTCGCTGACTCGTAACCACCGGCACCTTCTGCATCATGTATAGTCATCGCCGGCAGCCTTTCGCAGGAGGTCGGTCAATCCGCCACCGTGACCCAACCCCGCGAATGCGGAGAAAAGGGTCTCGTGCGTGTCGACCAGGATGCAACGGATTGATTCTGCGTTTGCGGCACGCGGGCTGCAGAGACAACCATGCCTCCGTCCTAGTCGACCGCAGGGCCGCACGACAAGAAAGGATAGGACCATCCCGCCCATCAGATGACGACTCTGCTCCGATCCAGGTCGACAGAGGCGTATGCCCGGGCAAGGCGTCGTCAGAGTAAGCCGCCACCACGCAGCAGACCCTGGACTGTTAGCACTGTTGGCTTGTATTGTACGCGGGCCGTCTCAATTACCTATTCTTGATGACGGGAAGGTTTCTTGTGATGAGGCTTGGCTTGTTGTTACTGCCGTGGCATGCCTTAGACGGTACTTCCTATTGGATTGCAGAGACCCTCAGAATCAGCCATGATCTGGCATCGCCGTCGACACCCTGGTGGCTTCCGGCCTTGCTCTTCCGCTTCACGGTTGTACGATGGCGCATGGTACAGTGATCATCAGTATTGTTTCAGCTTCTGAGGCCCATCAGAGTATCTGGCAAATCACGCGCAGTTCGCTTACAGAGGTGGTTTACTCGCTAGGCGAGCAGCAGGGCTTATACCTCGCCGTATCAATCCTATTGAGCTGATTCGTGCCTGGCGGATACTGAACACGAGGACATGTACGTATAGAGAACAACCTCAGCCATGTTTTATGCAGCCATGAACTTGCACTAACAATAGAAACTCTCCAGCAACATGTATTTGCTAGAGCAGATAGGAAGTTCGTTGGTTGGTAGGCTGGTTGGGTGATACCTTCAGAAGACGCTCCTTCCGTCGCTTCCGCTTCTTTGAGAACACAGAGGAGCATGTCTATTGTATTATCACCACCACCAACACCACTTCACCTCTTTCATCTCCATCGCTTGACCATTGCCTCCCATTCTATAGCTTCCTCTGATACTCCCCCTTCTCCGCCATCTCATTCAGAACCCGATCGGCCGTGCGCATCGCCTCCATCCCCGCCGGCGCACCACAGTATACGGTGGCATGCAGGATGGCTTCGCGGATCTCCAACTCCGAAAGACCATTCCGTAAAGCGCCACGAATATGCACCGCCAGCTCAGGCATACGGTTCAGGGCAATCAACATCCCGATATTCATCAAGCTGCGCTGCTTGCGATCCAACCCGGAACGATTCCACACTTCACCCCACGCCCACTCGGTGATGAATTCCTGCATGGGCCGCGTGAAGGCGCTGCTGTTGGTGCTCAGGGCACGGTCGACATGGTCGTCGCCCAGTACCTCGCGGCGGGTTTGCAGGCCCTGAGCAAGGCGCGGGGAGTTCGAGTCTTTGGTGGGGTTGGAGTCGGACATTGTGGGGTAACTCTGAGATCTGATCGTCGGGAGTATGTCTGGGATCTGGATCCGTCGAAGCCGATCGTTGGATTGGTGGGACTGACTATAGGTAGGGGCTGAAAGACTGCTGAAGGGCGGATGGAAGGATGAATGCGGATTGCGAGGCTGTCAAGACTAGAGAGTGCCCGCAAGCAGCATCGATTCATTCCATTCTTCCATTCCTGCGGTGGTTGGCGGGGAAAGAGTTCGAAGCATCGGAAGTTGGAAACCCCAGGGCTGGATGGGTCGATGGCGGATCGGCAACTTCGGACTTTCGCTGTCAACACGGAAGAGTATAACGATCGACCTGGATGTCTCACCCAGCCACAGCTGCTGTCTCCGCTGATCGCATGCCAAGGATTCCCCCGGGAGACTACAGTATATCATGATACTGGCTATCTTGCCCTGACCAGGAATGTGGCACCTGCGATCCAGCCCTTATCGATTAACCCAATACACATTCCACGAGAGGGCAGAAAGCTCGCCTTGCCCTTATCGCTATTGTGGCGAGTGGCGGGAATAATCGTCTGTGGCATTTTTGAGGCCGGTGGAATGTGAGTTCACGACTCGCCAGTCTGCCGATTAGAAGCCGAACGCGCCCGGAGGCTTTCATACCGAGTCTCAGCTTGGGCTTTGAAACAGGAGGAGGATTCCCAGTCCCTGTCGGGTTTATAGGGTCTATGTATGATGTCTATGTGCTGTTTAGAAGCTATCTGGATCTATCGTCGATCCTTGAAGAGGAGTAGAGCCCAACCTCTTCTCGATTTCAAACTCGTCTAGAGAGTTCCGAACAGATCGACTCATCGCGTCCCAGCTGTAGACCAGCCTGCCGATCGATCCTCTGGAATGTGTCTGTAAGTGCGATCCAGCCAACCGGGAGAGATTTCCCCGCGGCGTCTCCCCAGCCGTCAACATTCCAGCGCGCGGCCAAGTCGCTCGTTCAGGCTTTGGCTGGCGATCGCAAAAACTATATCTACCACGACGTCGTCACTTGTTCCCCTCTCTCCATCATCATCACCATCATCATTCTCAACATCACAAAGTCTAAACTCCAGAGTCTCTCATCTCATTGAACAGCTCGCTGCTTAGCTCATTCGATATACATCCACCAACTCCATCAATCTCCATCCATCTTCTTATCCAAACCCCAAACATCAACCAATAAATCAATCAATCACAATGGCCATCCTCGCTAAAGCTTCTTCCCTGGCTTGCTTCCTTATTGCCTGCCTCTTCTTCTCTTCTCTCATCCAGGCCCTGCCCGTGCCTACCCCCAACACTCCAGCAGGAGTCTCACCCATGGCCTTGACCGCACGCTCACCGGTACGTTCTCCCCACCAATACCACAAACCACAAACAACCACTAACGATAGCACCAACAGCGCGAAATCCCCGACAGCAACAACCGAGACCTGCTAGGCGGCCTGCTTGAAGCCATCGGCCTACCGCACCTCTCGAAGCTCAACCACTGGAAGAGCGCCAACGAGCCACAAAGCAAGCCCTCCAGCTCTGCCTCCAACTCCAACCCCATCTCCAACCCTCCCTTCCTATCCAGCAGCTCCCCCGCCATCGACGACGGCAACAGCTTCACCCCAACCGTCAACTCATCCGCGGACGACACCGAGACAGCCGATGACCACACCAACACCAACAGCAGCACCAACAGCAGCACCAACAGCAGCACCAACAGCAGCACCAACAGCCCCTCGAAGAACGACCTCCCCCGTCCGTCCGAGGACCCCATGGGCTTTATCTCCGCACTCAAGCAGCGGCTACAGGATGTGTTGAAAGCGGCGTTCGATAGCCGGGACGAGCTGACACTGAACTGAGTGTATCCTGCACAACTTCACTGTGGTTATCTTTATTCGTGCGTGGTGTTGCTGTTTGAGTTGATTGGGCATTGGTGTTTAGTTTGAGCTCGGGAGTTTTGTTTGGTATCGGAATGGCGTTTATTTGAAACGGAAGTTTTCTGGGATTGTGATTTGGATTAATCTACTTGCTAGGGTGTTGAGGACAAAATCGTGAGGGACGCGAGGGATTGTTAGCGAGTTATATTTGTTGTTTGGAGGATGGATGGTATGTAAAATAGATTCGATAGATGGAATTTCATAGATAATAAAACAGTTCAAGAATATTTTACTTGGGTTATTAGTGTACATGTAGGAACAAGATAATTCATATCGAAGACAAATGCATTTAGGAGATGAGATGGTCCGCTCAGGGTTATACCGCTGTTCGTTGCATTGCCATTCGATGGAAAGATAACACATCACCTACAGGAGTCTCTTATGGCCACCTATATTAGACTGGTGTTCACTATGCTGGCTCTTTGATAATTGTTCTCCGTGCTGTAAAGAGAGTTCTACCTAGTATCCACGGTCGACTTTGCATAAGCTCTGCTTGCCGACGCCACCGCAATCACCGATGCATAAGCACGGTGCTTCAAGCCTTCGAGAAATGGAACACGGGATGTGTTTGTCTGCGTAATTCGTACCAGGGTCCAGTGTAAATAAAATCGATTCATGAATTCCTGCAACAATTCCACTGTATTTATCTTCGGGTTTGTGCACAGCCTGAGCCAACAAAAATACCTCCAGTGCAGGATATACTTATTCTCAGTATCCACAACTGCGACGAAACCACAACCTCAGCACCGGTGAATGCATGCCATGCTGGGTTTGAAGAACTAAGGTTAATAGCAATACATAAATGGGCTACGATCTGATCAGCACGGCGAGGTGTCAAACGTGGGTAAGGAAAAATAAGAAAAAAGAAGAAGAGGAAAAGAAGAGGAAGTGCTTTGATGAACAATCAGCATGATGAAAAAGCACGCATGAAAAAAACGTCAGCGACAGGATTTGAACCTGTGCGGGCGAACCCAATAGATTTCTAGTCTATCGCCTTAACCACTCGGCCACACTGACTATTCATGTATTGTGGAAGAGATTTAAGATAAATGTTCTTGCCGTAAAGATGGATCCACATCGCGCCTTGGAATGCCGGGTTAGGGCTCGGTGGTTTTGCTGCGGGGCAAGCTTCCGACTGGGGCCTGGTTATGTTTGTTGCTTAGATACGGGTTATCTAGGAGATCCGTTACCAAGGATTGTGAATAGAATGTACGTTTATTAATATTTTCTTTTTTGATTTGCGTGAGTATAGTCTCTGAGGCGCGAGGTAAATATTCATGGGTTCATTGAAGCTGGTAGTGAGATAGATGCCGATGTACAGTACTTGTGCAGGCAATTGCTGGCACTGGAATAGAAGGTCTTTATCCATTCAGACCCAATTCACCGGTAATACACTGGGAGGTCCGTTCTTGCTCATATCTTCATGCTGATGTGTGACATTGCTGCACAGTACGAGGAAGAGCAGGGTCAAAGAGGGATGCAGTACAAGAACCCTTCACTGGCAGACCCATGTCACCAACTACAAGACCTTATGTTCATCTCTCCTGCCAAGCCCAAGAACCAGCATACTCCGCCCCTAAATCAACGTAGTAGGGCTATCACCATGCCCCTCGGCCACACCGGCTACGGAGCGATGAGTATGCCGCACCCCACCGCACCCCACCGCACCTCTACACCCAAAC